GCGAACCTCCCTGGGGAGAGCATTCCACAAATGGGGAGCCACTGCAGAGAAGGCCCATTCTTGTGTTTCCACCCTCTGGACTTTTTGAAGAAGAGGCACACGAAGGAGGGCCTCAGAAGATGATCTCAGGGCACAGGTAGTTTAGTTCTTGCAAGCCCAGGAAGAGGAATAAACTCACTCGTTCTCCACCAAGAAATCCATAGAGAACTCTATAGAGAACTTCATAAAGAGCTCTCTAACCACATTCATTCAGAGCCAAAATATCAGCCTACTGGAATGTGAGTAAATACCTCTACATGTGCCCTGTGAGCCAATAAAATAAATGTCTGAGAGCTTTGTGGACTTTTGTTTATATTATCCAGACTGAGAGAAGTCTCAGGATGGAGCATTAACCAATTCTCCTCCATTGTTCATATTCTGATTACCTTCACAGTCCACTTCAGACGTTTATTGCTGCAATAAACCAGCTTTCATATCATTTAACCACTCTGGATCCCTTTCCCCCTTTTATGAAACAGATTTTCAGGCCCAGGGTCCAAATGCAGCCATCCAGGTTTCTCTATCTCCGCCATGGGACCATCCACTCCACCTCCCCAGCCACACCTGCTTTGTTTCAAACCCAGCTTTACTGTTTTTGCATTTTGGAATGTGTCTTAGAAGTTTGAGAACTGCTTTTGTTTGCTTGGATGGAGAATAGAGAAGAGTGTGAGGGTGTGTGAGTCACTTTGAAAGGTGAGAAAGACTTGGCTTCAAGCCCATCCGAAAAGGAAAAATGTTCCTTTGCTCACATGGTTCAACTGCAAACTGCGTGGGCAAAAGAAGTGAGGATGTAGCTGCTGATGGTCAGCTGTGGCTGCAAATACTGCTTCCTTGGCTCTTGTGATTTTGCCTGTATCGAGAATATTTGCTACATGGCAAATATTCAATAGTGTGGCACTGAAGGAGGGCAACCCTACTGCATCATAACAGCCAGGCAGATGGATAAGGGAGGAGGCATTCTATCAAGTAAATAAACCTTTCCAAGGATTTTGCATATCACAACAAGCATCTTTAACTTGGCTCAGCAAATTGAGAGCCAATGCCACACCTTCAAAACTGGTGCAATATGCTTTTGCAAAGTTGTCCTGATTAATAACCCAGTAGGAGGTGATATAAGGGACGTGGGCGGCGCTGTGGGTTAAACCACAGAGCCTAGGACTTGCCAATCAGAAGGTTGGAGGTTCGAATCCCCGCGACGGGGTGAGCTCCCGTTGCTCAGTCCCTGCTCCTGCCAACCTAGCAGTTTGAAAGCATGAAGTGCAAGTAGATAAATAGGTACTGCTCTGGTGGGAGGTAAACAGCGTTTCCGTGCGCTGCTCTGGTTCGCCAGAAGCAGCTTAGTCATGCTGGCCACATGACCCAGTAGCTGTACGCCGGCTCCCTTGGCCAATAAAGCGAGATGAGCGCCGCAACCCCAGAGTCGTCTGTGACTGGACCTAATGGTCAGGGGTCCCTTTACATTACCTTTAGGAGGTGATACAGAAAATAGAAGGGGTGGCTTTTGCTGCCTAATTCTAAGTCCGTGATTGGTCAGAGATGAATGGATGGAAGCAGTATGCAGTGAAAGCAAGGCAAATCTTTATTTTTCTTTTGCAACAGAGTTCCCTCCACTCCTTGCAAGGAGGTAAGGGAGACCCAGAACAAAAGTGTGCAAACCCCTTTAAAGACTTTTGAAATTGCCCACCCCTTGGCCAAATACCATCCAAAAAGCATTGTACATACATCACAGGAGATGGTCTTCCACAGATATTTGAGTGTTGCTTTTCTCCTGTCTACCAGGATACCTGATAACGGTCACTGATTACCTGGGCCGCCTGACCATTCTATTGAGATGGTGAATACTTTAGTTCCTGAATTTCTTATTTACAAATTTATACCTATTGACAGTTCCCTCAGCTTAGCAGAAACTTGCCAGACTGGATTTGCAGGGAGGAGTAAACTCCCTAGATTCCAGGCCATTTTGTTAATAGGATTTGCAACTCAAATGACGATTGGAAAGTTTCCCCATTTGTTCCCTCCTACTGCAGAGGAATATTTGAGGTCATTTTGGGACCAAATCACACAGAACACATAGCAGTAGTCTAGAAGGAGGAGGTGGCAGAACCTGACGGGGGGTGGGGTAGCTCCCTATGATTTGTTTGCAAAGCATTTTGAGGATAAAATCACTTGCATCTACTGGGATTTTGACTCGGCTGTTAGAGAATCTGAAGGGGTGTCCAGAGCGCTGTCTAGTCTCGTTGTGTTGGATGAGTTTCAGTTGGTAAGGCTTGAGGATGTGGACAAGGTGCTCGGATCAGTCAGGGTGACCCTGATAAAAACTAGCAGGAAGAGAACAGTTGGCTGGGCCAGGGGGTGGTCCCTACCTGCTTGAATGAGGCAGTGGTAAGAAGCTCACCCTAGGTTTGGAAAATCTTAAGTAACTACTGGTCAGTTACCAATCTCCCGTCCTTGGGCAAGGTTCTTGAGTGGGTGATTGTAGACCAAATCTAGGCACTCTAGGAGAAAACTGGCTTTCTAGATCCATTTCATTTGGGGTTTTAGCTAAGTTTCAGCACAGAAACGACTTTGGTCGTCCTGTATGATGACCATTGTCAGGAGAGAGACAGGGGCAACGTGTCCTGTTAACTCTCCTTGACCTCTCAGCAAATTTTGATACTATCAACCTTGGTGATCCTCCTTCTGGACTGGCTAAGTTGCAGGTGGGTGGCACTGCTTTGTGGTGGTTCTGGTCATACTTGAGTAGTTGTTCCCAGAGGGTGATGCTTGGGGAGTGCCCTTTGGCCCAATGTGTTTCTCAGGTTTTTATCTCCTGTGCTGTTTCACATCTACACAGTGGCGTAGCGTGGGTTGTCAGCACCCGGGGCAAGGCAAGTAATTTGCGCCCCCTAACCCGTGGATTTGCGCCCCCTAACCCGTGGATTTGCGCCCCCTAACCCTAACCCCCAGATGTTGCGCCCAGTGCGGCTGGGCCCCCCTGCACCCCCCACGCTACGCCACTTCATCTACATGAAACAGCCCAGGAGGGGTCATCCAGAGTTTTGGAGTACACTGTCAGCAATATGCTGATGATGCACAGCCCTACTTCTTTTTATCTGCAGGTGTGGAAGTGGATGTGCTGGACTGTACTGTTGTTTTGCCTTGTTAATGGATTGGATGAGGGCCAACAAACTGAAGCTCAATTCAGATAAGACTGAGGCACTGTCACTGGGCAGTTCCCTGGACTGGATGGATGAGAGGTTGCCTGCTCTTGATCTGAAGGAGCAGGTACGTGGCTTGAGGGTACTTCTACATTCATTGTTGTCACTTGAGCTTCCGCCGGCCTTCCATCAGCTTTGGCTGGTGGTCCAACTGCATCTCTATGGAGCTAACTTCTGTTCTCTACGCTCTGGTAACCTCTAAGGTATATTACTGCAACATGTTATACATGGGGCTGACTCTGAAGATAATTTGGAAACTTCAACTGATGCAGGGCAAGACAGTTTGAGCACATCACAGCGATCCAGGCCCAACTCCACTGGCTTTCAATTACTTTCTGGGCCCAGTTCAAAGTACTGGTTATGACCTATAAAGCCTTAAACAGCTCAGAACCACAATACATCAAGGACTGCCTCTCTCCATATGAACCTACCGGGATCCTGAGATCATCATCTGAGGCACTTCTTCATGTGCCTCCTCCACAAGAGGTCCGGAGAGTAGCAACATGAGAACAGGCCTTTTCTGCAGTTGCTCCCTGTTTGTGGAATGCTTTCCCCAGGGAGGTTCACCAGGTGCCTTCATTACATATATTTAGGCACCAGGTGAAAATGTTTCTTTATTACCAGGCCTTTAGTTGATTAAACCATAGATGGCTTTTTAAATGTTTGTGAGAAGGGGGTTATTGGCTTGTTTTTCTTTTTATTATGTATTTTGTTCTCTCATTTTGTATTTTTGTGTTGTAAAATGCCCTGTGAACTTACAATGAAGGGTGGCATACCAAACAAGCAAACAAACAAACAAACAAACAAACAGGTTGCAGCAACTTCTGTATGGAAACAAAGTTAACACATTTGGGGCTTTTTAGTTTGGAGGAAAGTTCATGACTACAGAGGGAAATGATAAAAGGCAAAGGTAAAGGGACCCCTGACCATTATAGGCATATATAAAATAAGAGGGATGGGTAGTCCCTCTGGTGGCGGACACATTGTGCTCCTTCTGGGTTAGATTGTCCACTTTTGGTACCCACCCTTCACTCAGTTCTCACCTATGGCTCCTAGAAGCTGTCACCATGCGAGTCAGTGGGTCTCAAACTCTATGTGAGTTAGGGAGGTCCCCTGCATGTGAACAATGGCTTTGGCAGATGGAGCAGACGAGACCAATAGTGCGCCCAACAGTTAAGAAGGCAGTTTCTGCATGCGCTGTTGAGGGAAATGAGGGACAGATGGGGCTTATCAGCCTGGGAAGGTAGCTCATCTAGGAGAAAGAAAACTCTGCTGCCTTGTGGAATTTCTTCAGGAGACGAGAAGGCTAAGGAGTAAACTCTACACAAATCTGGAGTGGAGTCCTTAAGACAGTTGGAAAGCACCTTGTATGCTTCCTTCCAGCAACTCCTGCAGCCAAGCTGGTGCCAAACGTATTGCTGTCCTTTCCTTTGGACCAGATCAGTGAGGCTGAGGGGGTGGTGGTCTTGCCATCTGGGGAGCCCAGGACCTCCAAACACACTGCCAGGCTTGCAGCCCAGGGATGTCACTTCAGTGCTGCTAACATGGCTGTTTGACTTCACCCCTAGAGGAACACTCCATTGTCTTTCGAGGCAGACAGATGGCAACCAAGGTGGTGGTGGGGGGGAGTGGATGAATCCCTCTTCCCTTGCTCTGTAACTCAGAACTCTGGATTGCTGAAGGACTTTGAATGACAGTACATTCAGCACAGACAAAAGAAAGTATTTCTTTATGTAGCACATAATCACAGCATTAGAAGTGACCTGAGAGGTCACCTACTACACACACACACACACACACACACACACACACACGTGTGTGTGTGTGTGTGTGTGTGTGTGTATATATATTGCACTTTTACAACTTATATATACATCATACAATATTCATCATTTATCTCTTATCCTCAGACTTCCCAGTCCATCTCTCCATGGCATTCTAGGTAGTCTTTTGTCGGCTGCATATTCTATTATTCCACCCATTTTCGTCTCAGATCTTCCTTTATTTAGTGTTATCTGCTGTTCATATGTACATTCCTACTTGTAGGTTAAATTGACTATTGTACCCTTTAAGACAGTGTTTCCCAACCTTTTCCTGAACATGGATGCTTTAGCTGAGTTTCCTACATTGCATCCATGACAGATGGCAAACTTCTGCTTAGACACCTCCAAGGAAGGCGAGTCCAGAACCTCCCAAGGGAGATCCATCTTCCATGTATTATAAAAAGTAAGCAACACGTATTTGGCACAGAGGGGGAAACATACAGATAAAATCCAAAAGGTGCACAGGGAGTTCTGGTACATAATATTTTGTAGCAGGCAGAGAAATTCATAGTTTTCGGGTTTTCCATCTATGTCGCAAACTTAATGGCGGTAGCTCCTCGCAGCTCTCCACGGGCAGCGAGGAGGTTCAGGCAGGGGAAAGCCAGGATTTATGAGGCAAAAATCCTGGCAATGCTCCCCAGTGGGGTCTGGGGAGTTCACGGCATCCTGCTCAAGCCCGTATCTGCCAACTTGAAAGGCAGAGCAGGTGTGACCTGGGAGTGTGTCCCTGCCATGGACGAGCCTCCATCTCCAGCATGATTTGTGGTTGGTTCCTGTATAATTCGGACAATTGGCTTTAATCAAGAGGCGCTCCTGGACCAACATTTGCTAACAGGCTGCAATAAGTCAGCTGCCCAAAGGACTCTGCTTGGCTCTTTGAAGGTACCGTATTGGCCTGAATATAAGCTGCACTTTCCCCCCAAATTCCGACCGTGAAAAGTTAAACTGCGGCTTATATTTGTGACCCTATCGTATGCAGCCAGGAGCGCAGGGCAAACAGTGCCAAGAGCGTGGCAAAGCAGCGCCAGCCTTGTGCGTAGTCCCTCGTCCTCTCCCTTGAGGCTGGGAAAGGAGAGAGTGAGGAAGGGGAAAGCTGCCGGCAACACAATGTGCCCCCCCCCCAGTATGCACCCAGGAGCAGCAAGGAAGGGAGCAGTTTATATTTGGGTATTTTTTCTTCTTTTCTTCCACCCCGTCCAATTTTAAAGCTGTGGCTTATATTCGGGTGCGGCTTATATTCAGGCCAATACGGTATCTGAATGTTTTCTTTGAAGCTTAAGAATCCATACAACAGCTGGGAAAGGAAGGGGGTGATTTGTGCTTTATTATGGTTTTTGAATAGTCTCCTTTTTTCCTGTCCTCCCCTGCATAATGAAAAGGATGTGTGTAGCCGCTGCTATGTTATTCTGTTTGTTACTTTGGAAAAGAGCGGGGAGGCTTTTGATTTATGCTCAACAAGGAATTTAACAAGGCTTTACTATGCCCTCCCCCACTTGACCGAGGCTGAATGGACTTTATCTAAAATTATTCCTGGACTGCTGGGCGGGGGGGAATGAACTGCTGCCGAACAGATGCGGCAAAGAGGCTGAATTTGAGAAAAGATCTTGTTTTTAACTGCGTGCCGAGGAAGAACTCCAGAGTGGAATTTTAATGGCAGGATTTGGATAGGCATTCTGTGAGTTATTGATGGCTGCAGCTCATACACTAGTCGGTAAACAGCGGAAGGTGTGGAATGTGATCTTGTACCATCCAGATAAAGACTGCTGAGAACTGAACAATGGAAGACAGTAATTAACTCTCCCAGCACACCAGGTCTGGAACAACAATGTATATGAAGGACTACACACATGAAACAGACTACTTATTTATAAGGTGTAATGGAGGTGCTGTTTGTAAGGTGAAAAAAGCGGCCAGCTGGAAGAATGGTTTAACGGCAAGTGAAGGATGTCAACTGGACTCTAAACAAGAAATGATGCAGCTATGTGAGGAAATAATGATGATCATATGTTTGGAACAGGAGCGGGAAACCTGATCTTAAGAAATTGTATTAAATTAAATTAATTTGGTTTGATTTGTAATAATTTGGAAAATTAATAAAAAATAATTTGAAAAAAAGAGAAATTCATAGTTCCCCCATAATTCTCCCCATGCAGACATTTCTATATTATAACAAATCATTGTCACTTTTACCATTTCATATTTAGTCTCCCACTCCAATAACAGTTTATAAATTTTAGAAATTAGTTTATCATCTTTTCCTATTAATTTTTTTTTCAAGTTCCGAACTCGTTTCCCCAAATCCCGTTTCTTTATGTCTTTTAAATAACTTGTTCACCTGGAAGTACTGAAACCAATCTATAGTATTATCCGATACCTCTCCTTTTTTTCCAGATGAACCTTTCCCTCTTTGAACTCTATAAAATCCTTGTAAGTAGCCCATCTGGTATCCATATTTAACCTTTTCACTGACACCGCCTCAAATAGTGATTCCATCTTGGGGGTTTCCTCTCTAATAGATCTTTATGTGTCTGCCAGACAATGTATATGCTTCTTCTTATAGTGTGATTTTGAAATCCTTTGTGCATCCTTGCTTTGTCATAGTGCAAATAGGCACGCCATCCAAAGCGTAGGTCAAACCCTTCTAGATCTAAAATATTGGTATCTCTTAGCTCCATCCATTCTTTCATGCAGCAGAGGCAAGCTGCCTCATAGTAAAATCTAATATCAGGTAGGGCAAAGTCCCCTCTTTCTCTTGTGTCTATCAGGTTTTTGTATTTAATGTAGGGGTTCCCCACCCCCACCAAATGAAGTTTGTTACATATTTCTTCCACTGTTTAAAACAGTTTGGGCTATTTATCACTGGCAGTGTTTGAAATAGGAAAATCATATTGAGCAGGACATTCATTTTAACTGCAAATACTCTTCCCAAAAAAGACAGATCTATCCTAGACCATTTATCTAGGTCTTTTTTTATTTCATTGCAGATTTTAGCATAAATATACTGGAAAAGGTTTAGATTCTTGGCTGATAGCCAGATCCTCAGATACTGTATTTAATCTTTTGCCCTTCTTTTTGATTCCTGAAATATTCCCAAGTCTTTCTCTTGTAGGTCTAGGTTTACCACTATCATTTTGGTTAGGTCACCTACATTGCAACGCAGAAGGCAACTACAGCATACCTAAGAGATGGACCATCCAGCCTCTGCTTAACGTCCAGTGAAGGCACTCTGGTCCATTCTTACCATCTCCAACAGCTCTTACCATGAGAAAGCTGCTCCTAACATTTTGCTGAAATCTGTTTCCCTGAAATTTCCAGTCATTGGTTCCATACCCTCCAACATTTCTCATATGATAATAAAGGTAAAGGGACCCCTGACCATTAGGTCCAGTCATGACCGACTCTGGGGTTGCGGCACTCATCTCGCTTTATTGGCTGAGAGAGCCGGCATACAGCTTCTGGGTCATGTGGCCAGCATGACAAAGCTGCTTCTGGCGAACCAGAGCAGCACATGGAAATGCCATTTACCTTCCCGCTGGAGAGGTACCTATTTATCTACTTGCACTTTGACGTGCTTTCGAACTGCTAGGTTGGCAGGAGCAGGGACCAAGCAACGGGAGCTCACCCCGTCACAGGGATTCGAACCGCCGACCTTCTGATCAGCAAGTCCTAGGCTCTGTGGTTTAACCCACAGCGCCACCCGCATCCTACGTCCCATTCCATAATGATAATTTTACTATTTATACCTCACACATCTTAATGAGAGCTTCCCTCCTCTGCATTGGAATCACTGCAAGGAATATGATTAGCATCAGTCTGTGTTGAAGTTGTCAGCAGGTCTATGCATCTAACGTTTTACAGTCAAATGCTACCCCTGCTCAGGGGCGCCAACCTGCCCCCCACATTGAGGAGGCGAGGTCTTGTGATGTGTTAGGTTACACATCACGTGATGCTGCCCGGCATGCATTTGAACGGCAAACACCAATTCCTGTTTCTGGAGTTTGGAACATTATTATGGCTTAAGACTAGGCCCTGTTTATGCCCTCCAGGCCCAGAAAGGAATAAGAGAATGCAACATAGACCCCTGGGGTTGGCAGACAGTATGCAACCTCTGGATTGGCTATGGCTGCAATCCTGTAGACAATGGAGTTTGCTTCTGAGTAGGCATGTATAGGTCTGCATTGTAAGTCTGGTATAATATTGGAAACTTTTCCTTTTTTTCGTTTTGGAAAAAAAATACAAATGCAAACAGAAGATTTGAAGAATCACAATTTTAAAAAATTAAGATCTATTTTTTAAAAAACAAACAAATAGTATTATGCATTTAACTTTGACCAAATTTAACTAAATTAACCAAAGTTGAAGAAGAAGAAGACAAAAACAAGATCCAAGAATACAATATAACCATTGACAACAGGAAAAAATACAATAAAACAATTCTGGGATCCTTTGTCCCTTTTCTAGGGAACACAGCATGGTAGCAACAGTGCTCAAGGGATGCAGGTTTGAGAACACACACAGTTTACAGGTCTTTTTGGCCTGGCCCTGACATATGAGCTGCAATTTAAAATATAATTGTCTAGATCAATGTTACAGGATGGAACAGGTGTCTTAAGTGCTTCACTGCACTTTCCAAATTTTTGAAAATGAAATCCAAAAGCTGCCAAGTTTTGGCATGATGAGCTAGCCCCAAGGCTGATCCGCATTGCTGGGCAGTTGCTGAGGCCCCAGGAGGTCCCACTGCCAATTTCCGGAGCTTCCTGGACACGAACTTCCTCCTTGTTGTTTCTGGCTGATGTCCTGACATCTCGTAAGTGGAGATGAGGAGCAACAGCCACTTCTCTCTCTCCCCCCGCCCTCTGGTGGGTGAAGAGATTTTGCTTACATAAGAGGTGGGGAAACTTTGGCCCTCCAGATGTTGTTGAACACCAACTCCCATCAGCTGCTGCAAGCATGTTCAGTGGGTAGGGATGAAGGGTGTTATTGTTCAGCGACATCTGGAGAGCCTAAGGTTCCCCACACCTGGCTTAGAGCGAGAAGCGAAAGATTGGTCAGTGGCAACAGCAAGGAGGTGGCCCAGACAAGGAATGCATTGGAACTTACTTCTGTGTAGAAACGTTGTAAGAGGCTGGAACTAGTTCACACATGCATATACATCACTTTGGGTCTCATCATCACTTGGTTACTCCAGAAACAGTACCACACTTATCTGAATCTATGAACGAACTCCACAGAAAAGCATTGTGTTTCAATCAACATAAGTGATTGTAGTGATTTAGAGAGACTTTCTTACACTTTGAGGTGGGAGCTTGAAGATTATCCTTGGAGAATAGAGGTGCCAGAGGTTTGAGGGAGCCTGATGCGACTTCGCGCGCATAACGTTGTGAGGAGCCAGGGGGCGGAGCTGAACTCCCTCTGAAAATTGAGTGGGCCTGACCCCCCCCAGAAAATACATTCAGGGAGCCAAAACTGCCTCAGCCCTAGGAATTGGCACCTACGTTGGAGAATGGTGTGATGGGATCGTGCCTGACTGGCTGAAGGAGCTCCAACACAAAATTAGTTCATGTAACTGCTTGTTAATAAAAGAAACACAATGTTAACTCTTGCTTCAAGGTACTGAACCCAAACTTATTATGTGGTGTCAGAAGTGGAGGTCACAAGGCTTCTGAAGCCTACTTTTTCTAATTGCAAAGTGTTTGATTAGATACTCAGAAATAATCTTACGTAACACATCTGCTTCTGTAGAGGTGAGGCATCCAGCCTTGCCTTGTTGCAAAGTTGTTCGGTTGGGATTTTTAATATACAGTCATACCTCGGGTTAAAGTTGCTTCAGGGTGAGCATTTTCGGGTTGCGCTCTGCAGTGACCCGGAAGTAACAGAACGTGTTACTTCCAGGTTTCGCCACTCGTGCATGCGCAGATGCTCAAAATGACTTCATGTGCATGCGCAGAAGCGGCGAATCGCGACCCACAGATGCGGATTGTGTTCGCTTCAGGATGTGAACGGGGCTCTGGAGCGGATCCCGTTCGCATCCAGAGGTACCACTGTACTTCAACTGAGAAAATGAATGCTCAGCTGAGCAATTTGTGTGGGAAATTTCTGCCGTGTCCACTTTCCCTTGATGCCCTAAGCAAGCATGTGCTTATTTTGCTAATGGTTAATCCAGCCGTGCTATGGGGCCTTTTCAGTTTGACATAGGGCCTTAGTATGCTTTAATCCAATCCTGATCCTGACTCTCCCCGGTCCACATCCATCACCAGTCCAGCGCTGCACCCTCGCCGCGCCGCCAGAGCACGATTTCTGTTCTCATCCTGAAGTAAAGTTCTTAACCTGAAGCAGTATTTCTGGGTTAGCGGAGTGTGTAACCTGAAACGTATGCAACCTGAAGCATATGTAACCCGAGGTACCACTGTAGTTTCAAGCACTACTACTGGTTCCACATAACATCTGTACTGCATTGTTTACTGTGACAGCACCTGCACTTTGGAACTCCCCGCCTCTTGCAACAAAGCGCATGCCTTTGCTAGACTCTTTTCGGGCACCTGCTGAAAGCATTCTTCTTTAGGCAAGCATACCCAGATGCTTAGGAAGTTGTAGTAATTATAATCTTAATATTTTAGCTTTTGTATGTTTTAAAGTAGAATTGTTAATTTTTCTTGATTTTACTGCTGTGGGTTTTTTTGTTTTTGGTTTGGTAAACCATTTTGCAGGTTTTTTAAAATAAATAAACAATAAATATGAATAAAATAACACAAGCCAAAACACAATCCATCCTGTAGATTTAAGTATCTGTCCATAGTCGCCTACTTGTAATCAGAGGCCCAGAATCCACATTCCTTTGTAAGAAAATATGAAATAACGTAAAACCATTTTTGCAGTCAAAAATAAATATAAATAAATAAATGGGGGGGTGAGAAGAAATTTTCCGCACCAGGTACCACCTGACCTTCCTTGGGGCCCCTCCCCTGTCATGTTTGGTGTTCAACAGCAGGAGTTTTTGAAGGAATCCTGTAAGCAGGGCCAGTTGGGGGGAGGGGTTGCAGGGGGCATTTGGCCTGGGGCACAACCTCAAAGTGGGCCTCAGATTTAGTCAATTCTCAATATTTTTGGTATTTGATTCTTCTCTCAGCTTGTTTCTACCCGCAGCAGACCAAAATGTGACACCCACTCCCAGCTTAGAGCTGCAAACTTAAGCAAATGAGAGATGTGATTTGGTAAAAGACATGGTTCTTTTTTTGTTCGCAGATATTTAATCATATTTAATTACATCTCACTTCTTTGGTGTGCGGCGCTATTTTGTTTTGTGTTCCATCATTTTTAATTTTTTATTCTGCCTAAAGCTGGAAGTGGCCTAGGTCTCTCTGGACCACTGAAACCGGGTGTCCCTGGTCATTGTTCTTGCTGGCCAGGGCTGGGAGCAGCACACAGGCACTCAAAGGCTTGGCCAGTATTCTCTGTAAAACAGACTGCAAACACACACACAGAGGAACCATGCCCCAGAACCTTTTGCGATTTGCAGTGTTTCTGAAGAAAATTCAAAAAGCACCATAGACAGTCGAGTCTGCAGCAAAATAAGCACTCCAGCATAAGTTTGCGATGAGATAACATTCTTTTTATTGCTAAAAGAGATATAGCATAAATTAATATCTAAATATAACAGTTTTATACTTTTCATTTATTCCTCCTATTTATAGTTAACCCTATGCTGTAAGCATCCCAGAAGCATTCAGTTAAAAACAACAAGAGAATATGCATAAGAAAATAAATATACACAATGTCCCCTGCTTCCATTTAAAAAAAGCCAGTCACAGGACGGGAACCGTTCCTTAGCCATATTGCTAGTGAGCCTGGCACGGTTTCCATTTTAATATGACTTTGACATCTCCGCCAGATAGTGGGTTTTTCTTCTTCACATTCCAGTGTCACAGAAGAGAAGTACTGTCTGTATTTCATCCTCAACTTTGGGTTTTCAGTGTCTGTAACACTTTCTGGGTCATTTACAAATTTTTGCCTGGAAGGGTTTATTTCACTCATTTTCCAAAAATATTTTTCACCCAGAACCAGAGTTCCGCTTAAAAGCTGCGAAGCTGCAGCAAGAAACCCAACATAGATGGCCATTCCAGCACGTTGTTCTGTGGGAATCAGAGGCACTCCCAAAACCTCCGGAAGCGGAATTCCTTCATTTGTTAATATAGAGTGAAGATTCCATGAAATGGAAATCAGTACACAAGTACCCGCTGCCAACTCTATCCTTGCTCCAATTGAAAAGAAGGTATCAATGAAATTCTCGTCTTTTCCTGGCTCAAAGATGTTGCATAGAGCAAAGGCCATGCAAAGAACGGTCACCGCAGTGGCCACTGAGGCCATTGGCATCAAGTCCTGGGCCACGATGATTTCAGCTGGCAGGGACTCCTCATCATTGAATGGTATACATATCATGTTGGTTTTCTTCATGGTAACTCTTCTTACAGAACAGGCACCCCAGATGCCACTGCCCACAATGCCCTGCTGGTTGCTGCCCATGATTCTGTCTACTTGCCACACTCTTCAGTCAAGGTTGGCAGATGTGGAGCAGATGCTCATTAGGCAGCCCAGGACAGCCAGAAGAAAGGCAGCTAGTTGCACGCAGGACACCCTGCACAGCAGGCGGACTGGGAAGGACCCATCATGCGCCTGGGGTGGAAGTTCCGCTTTAGTGCTGGCAAGGCTGGCGATAGAAGGCATGCTGGAGAAAAAGACAGACAAAAGATAACCGTTAGATACTTAGGCACAGTATCATATGGACATCTCCGAAAGTTTGAGCAAATAGTGATGTGCAGCTAAAACAATGCCATCCTTCTAGGGCAAATTCTGCATTTCCCACCTTGAGATGTAGGAATGGAAAAGTCTGCTGTACCTGTGCCAGGAATCAGACTTCCCCAGGGGTGAAGAAATTGCACAACGGCACAACCCCTTTTGTTCTAGGGACCCCCTCCATGCAGATAATTGGGCTCTTGTCTAGTCCACTCCTCCTCTGCATTCCTATGCTCCCCTCCCTTCCCTCTCCATTGGTAAAATGTCAGGCATGATCCCACCAAAGTTATGCATTCTACCCTTGAAAGAAAGTTGGTGCAACAGACCAATACAGCTCCTGTTCAGGAAAGAATCCTTTCTGGCTTTAGTCCTCATTCTCTCTCTCTCTCTCTCTCTCTCTCTCTCTCACACACACACACACACACATTGTGAAAAGCCTAAAAGTGGCTCTCAGACAGGACAAAAGGAAATAAAAGCCAGTTTGTTCCTATCTGAGAAGACACTGCTATGTTGGTGGGGAACTGAGGAGCGCTGCATATATGCACCTGTGTGAATCAGTTATTCAACCAGTCTTTTTCCAGAGCGACGGCTTCTTCCAGGTCTTTCTCTTCCAGCATCTGATCTAGGAGAGGACCTGAAAAGAGTGAAGCTGGTCGGAGCACAGTAGCAACTGCTCCTTGGAGTTCTGAGGCAGTTAGAATGCAGCTTGCTTTGAACGCTCAGAAGAACACAAATCATAACTCCAGGGTACTGGTCGTTTGGAACTGTTGGCAACTGCTTGGAGGCAGGATGCATTTGAATACCAGTGTGATTCTGCAACTTTTAAAAGACACTTTTTTGTTAGATGTAAGCTTATGCAAAGATTGGATACAAAATGTGGAAATAAACACCCCAGCTGCCAGTTCCAAAGGAATGAGCAAGCAAGAGTTGAAATAAACCAGGGGTCAGCAACCTTTTTTAGCCGTGGACCGGTCAGACCATGTGGTGGGCCGGAGTATATTTTGGAAAAAAAAATATGAACGAATTCCTATTCTACTCATGTAAAAACACGCTGATTCCCGGACCGTCCATGGGTCAGATTGAGAAGGCGATTGGGCCGCATCTGGCCCCCAGGCCTTAGGTTGCCTACCCCTGGTGTAGGTGGTCACAGAGGGCAGGGAGGCAGTTCCCACTTCATGGCACACACCACCCCTATCACAATTTCTGAAACTCCAGGTTGATAAGAAATAGTTTTATATGGGTGTAGTAGAATTGGGCAGGGAGCATGGCTGGAAGGACTGGAATCAGCTAGTGGAAATGCAAGGAACAATGTCAGCCTTTAAGCTAGACATGGGTGCTCAGGTTAATATGTTGTCCGGCGATTATGAAAGACTCCAATTTAGGTGAAAAATACTTTCAACAATTATTTAACTAATGGACTATTACCAGTAAAGGGACACCATATTGGCAGCACCAGATACAAAGACACTGAATATAGCTTGCCATTTATTATAATTCCTAAATAGACTTAGCATAATTAAATGGGAACTGACCATGCAAGACAATGGAAAACAGGAATATGACACACTGATTTTGTGTTATCAAAATATATTTGAAGTACTTGGCTACTTACCAGGTGAACATACTATCCAAATAAATAAACAAACTACCATATTTTTTCATGTATTAGACAATGTTTTTTCCTTTAAAAATTTAGTCCAAAATTAGGAGTCGTCTTATACATGGATGGTGAATCTCAGGTGTTGGTGGGGGCCCCTCCGTTGCTACGCTGGTTCTGGTGCTTTGAATAGTTAATAAAATACCAAAGTTGTTCTGTTTGATGTTTAAAATATTGATTTCTTAATTTGGGGTTCAAAAAAAATAGGGGTCGTCTTATAGATGGGGGCATCTTATAAACAGAAAAATACGGTAATGTCCTCAGAGATCCATCCGTGCAGAAAAGTGCATTTTGCACTTTGTGACAAACTCAGAGAGAAGTTCTCAAGAATGGGGTTTTTTACAGGTCATAAAGAAGATTGAGGAACCCACAGAATGGGTGATGCCAGAAGCCTTAAGGCCATCAAGATTGAGTATTTCAAACTCCCCACTAGAGAGAAAATCATGGCACAATTTGCAAATGCTCACAGAGGACAACCCAAACACTTCACAGTCAATACCCCTTTGAGAGGTATTACTTTCTGTGACACCTATTTGATGTTGCTTCAGCAGCTGACATGTACTATAGAACCATACACATGATATATGAGCACACCGATGGAATTGACACTTCAGTAGATGATATTGTGCAGTACTCTGTCAAAGGTGAACATGATCTAACACTTGGGAAGGTCTTAGATGCAGCAGGAAATTAAACTAAATAAAGAACATTGTGTTTTTGGGATCACTGAACAGACATTTTGGGGAGATGTTATCTCTACTAATGGGGTAAAACCTGACATAGAGAAGTTTTTATCCCATGACCCTAGTCCAAGAAGGATGTGGAATGGCTTCTGAGGTAGTTAGCGAACTAGTTCTTGTCTCAAGACATTGAACCTAAAACTATTACATTATGGTGTAGGGCAGGACTTCAGGTTGACTCCAGGTATGAGGGGGTCCTTGGCAATGTGCCTCCTGTGTCCCATGCTGTGTTGGTAACCTGGTCTGGCTGTGGGTTTTACTCGGCTGCTGAGCTGTCAATTCCCAGCGCAGGCAGTAGCCCAGGGGTCAACCATCTTTTGGGGCCTGCAGTGGCGTAGCGTGGGTTGTCAGCATCCGGGGCAAGGCAAGTAATTTGCGCCCCCTAACCCGTGGATTTGCGCCCCCTAACCCTAACCCCCAGATGTTGCGCCCGGTGCGGCTGGCCCCCCCTGCACCCCCCACGCTACGCCACTGGGGGCCTGTGGGCACATTTAAAATTTTGAGAAAGGGCTGTAGGGGCTAGTTAGAAAATGTCTGCTATGGGTGTGTGGCATGACACAAAATGGCTGCTGTGAGGGTGTGGCAAAACACAAAATGTCTGCCACATCTAAAAGAGCAGAAAAAATGCCAGGATCACTTCCCCCTCCGCAAATCAGCAGGGGAAAGGTACCTCCATCCTAGAGTTGCCATATTCCGAAGAGCAAAAAAGAGGACACATTTGTTGGGGCGGGGTGAGTCGGTGCAGGAGCAGGAGCAGGAGCAGGAGTGGGTGCCAGGGTCATAGCTGTCAACGTTTTCCTTTTTTTTTAAGGGAAATTCCCTTAGTCCGAATAGGATTCCTCACAAGAAAAGGGAAAAGTTGACAGCTATGGCCAGGGTGTGTCCCAGGGCATGCCGTGGGCAGGATGCGCACTGGAGGGTGCTGGGGAGGGATGCAGCAAAAGTCGTGTATGCAAATTGTGGAGGAGAGAAAGAGAGCCAGACACCACACACACACACACTGCCACCCCCCACCCTGTGCATGCTTTCCCCTCGCTACCTTGGACAACACTCTCACACAGGCACACACTCCCTCACAGTTAAACACACAGACACCGCACACACTGCCACGCCCCACATGCTTCCCCCGCCTTGCTATCTTGGGCAGCTTTGCAGCTGGGCCGCCCCAGCTGGAGGGCACGGGAGGGGTGCTGCTGCTGGCATAAGCCAAAGCAAACAGGAACTGAGCAGAGAGAGCAAACAGTGTCTCCGGTGTTTCTGAGGTGATATTTACTGAGACCACTTGTGGGTGTTATGGGGAGGTACTGGTAGGCACTCTGTCGCCCATGTGGTGACACAGTGATGACCGATGTATAAGCTGTTGGGCTTTGCTGGAGTGCTGGGTTTCCAGCAGTTCCCCAAAGACCCAATGGGCCTTCTTTAAGTGGGAGGGCCCAGATCGTGGAACCCCCTACTTTATGAGTCCTGGTTGGACTTGTCTTTAATGGGTCTTCAGTGTTTTGTTAAACAAGCATTGGGGGTTAATATATGTTCCCCCATGCTACTCACAGGAATTCTGTTTTAACCTGATATTGAGTTTTAGTGGTATTTTATTTATTTCCCAATTATCGTGTGACTGAGCTGCCCGGCACAGTGCCTAATGGCAGGGTAAAAAAACAAATTTGCAAATAAATAAACGAGAAACTTCTGTTTTGATATGGTGAATATGTAATGGCTCTGCCTGTAATGCTAAGCCATAGAATCAGCAAGCAAGCGTGCAGGTACGCAAGACAAAAATTGCAGCTGCTTTGCTGCTGCTGCTGCTGCTACGGTACTCGAGATTAAGCCATAGTTTGACTTAGTTGTGTCCGAACTCAGGCTAATGGTTTGCCTTGTTCCAAAGAGACCATAAGCTGTAACCATGGTTTTTGTGTGTGTTTTACTGCTTTTTTTAAAAAAATGTGCACATATATATATATATATATATATATATCCCACTTTAAATACTTTTTGTGTCTGCAACACTTTTAGAACGAACATACTACTTTGTTTTCAGTCAGTGTATGTCCCACCGTTGCCTGCTGAAATCCTGCAATTTTTACACCACAAATGTTCTGGTTAATTTTTTTGTCCTGTTTTTGTGGGACTGCCCCTCCAGATGGCAATAATGTAGAATCAGTCAATGTCACAGAACAACTAATAATCCAGAATTATGTGCGGAAGCTCCAGAATAAATGTACCACTCAGTGGCAGAGCTTCATGTTCTGGCACTGGGGTGGGGGTGGGGGCAGAAAGCAGGCAGGGGCAGGGCTGGTGCGCGTCCCGGGGGCATGGCACACCGCCTGTGGGAGCGAGCCGCGATGGCACCCCACCGGGATCGTGCTGCCGGGGGTAGTGCGCTCCCCCCACACTCCTCTTTCTCTGCCAGTGGTACCACTATGTTGCAGAATCTTGCAAGCAAAAACAAAACCACTAGTATGGAGGGCCGTTTTAAAATCATGATGATGATGATGATGATGATTTGCAGGCTTCCTACAGGTATCTAGTGGGCCACTGTGAGAACCAGGCCTATTCTTGGCATTAGTAGGGAGTGGGTGGCACTGTGGTCTAAACCACTGAGCTTCTTACGCTTGCCAATCAGAAGGTCGGCTGTTTGAGTCCATGCTCCTGCCAACCTGGCAGTTTGAAAGCATACCAGCACGAGTAGATAAATAGGTACTGCTGCGGTGGGAAAGTAAACGGTGTTTCCCTGCGCTCTGGCACTCATCAGTGTCCCGTTGCACCAGTAGCACTTTAGTCATGCTGACCACATGACCTGGAAAGCTGTCTGTGGACAAACGCCAGCTCCCTCAGCCTGAAGCCAGATGAGGTCAGGTTTGACTGGACTTAACCGTCCAGGGGTCCTAAACCTTTACCTAGATAGTAAATTTTCCTAGGTTTACTCAGTGTACTAGCCAAAACTTGATCATCAAAGGGCAATAAGCATGCACTTGGGAACTGACCAGCCCAGATTCAAATTCGTAAGACACACTTTATTAAAAACAATGCCTTGGCAGTGCATGAAACTGAAAGCAGATTGAAAACATGTTCGTGGATGTCTTTTCACAATAACTTGCAATTTCTATTTTCGAAGAGGCACAAAGGTACGTTTTGGAGGGATGGGGAGAAAGTGTTAAAATTAAAAATTAAATGCACCAGTAAAGCTAGTATCAATCAAGAGAAAGAAATCGGAGGTTCGTCTAGTCTCGCTCCTTTTAACATCCTCCATCATGGCCAACGTCTTTCATGGGTGGATGCCATTTCCTGCTTCACAGAAAAGCCAAACAATACCTTTGCAACCCTCCCCTCAAACTAACTGATCCAGCAGTTAGCAGCTGCGAATGCAAATGCAGCCAAGCGAATGCAGAATCCGCTTCTCTCCTCCCCACGACAGCAAGGGATGAAAAGCATATACGCATTAGCCCTCTCTCTGTATGTCTGGCTGGCAGAGAACAGGGCGTGGGCAGCAGCAGCAGCAGCAGCAGCTCATCTGCAAGACTGCGGATATTCTCTCTCTCTCTCCTTCCTGCTGCACCAGGATGCAACTGAAACCAGCCCTGCAGCAACCCTTTGAAGGGTACAGCCGGAAATAAAACTGGCTCCCTTGTAGCATTTTTTATTTTATTAAAAAACCCAGCCCCCGAAGGACAGGGATTTGGATGCATCCGTGCAAAGGAGATAAAGAGAAGCCCCGCCCCGCCGCCGCCGCTTCCTTATTGGCACTGCAGCCCGAAGGACGGCAACGGCGGCGGCGGCGGCGCCCAGCCCGCTCCCTGGCTAGCGCGCCCTGCCTTCCAAGTCGCGGCGAGCCCGCCGAGGCCGCAGCCCGCTGCCGGTTGGCTCCTCCACTGCGCCACTTTGCATGTTGCCGCTCCGCTCGCTCCCCATTGCACGGCGGCTGGGCGGTATTTGCATGCGGCCGACGCCTGCGGCCAATCAGGGCCCCGCAGCCGGCCGGCCCCTCTCGTCTGTGGAGGACAGGGCGTGGCGCGGCGCGCAGGCGCGGCAGGCCCTTCCTTGTGCTCGGGCTTTGATTGCTGCCGGAGAGGGCTTCTCTCTCTCTCTCTCTCTCTCTCTCTCTCTCTCTCTCTCTCTCTCTCTCTCTCTCCCCCCCCCCCCCCGCCTCCTCCTCCTCGAGACTGGGCTGGGTTTGGAGCAGAGGGAAGAAAAGGCGTCGCACGGGGGGATCGCGGCTCCTTTCTCATCCTTGCGATTTTTTTTTTGGGGTGGGCGGGTGTGCAAACGACACCGCTGCTTTTCAAATATATATATATGCTGCATCTGTACTTTTAAATATTATTTCTTGCAAGGAAGACAAGCGCAGCACTGTTTACGTGCCCGTTTCAAAAATAGGAACAACACTTGCAATTTTTAAAGCAAACAAGCGCTTTTTTTTGGTGCACGAAAAGAATCTGCAGAAAGTAGGGGTTTTATTTATTACTATTTTTTTTAAAGAAAGGTTGCGTGGGACTTTGTTTCCCCGAGATGTCTTACCAAGGGAAGAAAAACATTCCACGCATCACGGTGAGTTGCAGGCTGTGGCGACGAGGGTGGCGCGTGGGAGGGCGATGTGGATCAAGCCCTTTGTGTGTGCATTAAGGGGGGAGAGGCAGAGAGGCTTTTGCAAGCAGCGCGCTCAAAAAAGCCTTTGATGCAGCCGTCGAGATATCTAATGATAATAATAATGAACGTGATGGGGAGGGAAGGAGGGGAAACCTGGTGCAAGCGGGGGAACAATGGTTGCCTTGATGTTGCGTAGCGGATGCAAACGTGAAGAGCCCCCCCCCCCCGCGCTCTGTTATTTGTGGCCGCCAGAAAGATGCTTTTATTTTGCCATCCCTGGATAGTCACAAGCCTATTGCAGATTTTTCAGTGTACATGCCTGAAATAATAAAACTGGACACAGAAAGGGCAAGAGAGAGAGAGAGAGAGAGAGAGAGAGAGTTGTCCTGTGACTGCACGTTGTTTCATAAGCCCATGATGAATAGCTGCCCTTAGCGGTCTTGAAGATCTGTTTTGTTCTTCCTTTAAAATACAGTTTTACACATTCATCCTGCTTTGTTGGATGGTGGTGGAGAAATGGGGTCCGATGGGGTGACCCTCTTGGCAGCGAGGGTGGGCAGTTGGGTGGTCGACCTGAAGGTGTAGCCTCAGGTGTGGTTGTGGCAGGCGAGCCAGTGGGTGTATTTTAAAAATTATAATGTCTTTTTAATTTTACTATTTGAAGCGAAGATTGAGAAGAACGTGGTTGCAATGTTGGGAGCTTTGGCAAGTCTGCCCCACCCGCTGCCTTTTTGGGTGCTGGTGAAGGGAATGGTTGAGTGGTGGGCTTGGCTGGTGTCTTAAATTTCTCTTCTCCACCCCCCCTTTCCTGATCTTCCCCCAATTTTGCCCTCTTTATTCATACAAAGGAGGCAAATGGGAGCGGGTAGGGGCAAGGTTGGAAGACAAACCCTGGTCTTTTCCCTCCCACCCCACCCCTTGCAGGAAGTAATGGCGGTGATGGCTTGGGTGATTTGAGCAGAAAGGGGCTGGCCGCTTGGCTGTTCATCCTTGCTGTCCCTCCCCAGCAAGGAAAAATTGGGAGTGGGCAAGGAAGTGAATAAATGGTTGGTACAGGAGCCCCTCGCCCTCTGCAGCATGCTTCCATTCTCCCGTCCACCCACCTTTCCCCATCTTTATGCAAGGCGAAGTAGGAGTCATTTGTCTTCTGGAAGGATTTCTCCCCACTTTGGCAGTCAGAATCTCCCCATGTTCATTCCTGCAGGGAATCTGAAGGGGGGCGGGCAGAAGAGAACAGTTACATAATAAAGTCCTAGTGTTCGTTATTGCAGGACCTGATTGCCATGCATGGATTTCTAGATGCAGGGGCACGAAATATGTACACAGCACAGTTGGATGCGATTGCAGTATATATATTAGTAGGAGATGCAGCTCACTTCTTAAATTAATACTATAATGTGCTCTAAGATGCAAGAGGCTTAATTTCCTTCTCTTTCCTGTTACTTAAGTGACAACTAGACATGACTGGGACACATCTCATCATGCCAAACCGTTTTTCTTTGAGTATTAAAGCTGAGAGTTGTGAAGAAATTTTTAAGAATCCGAACAAAATGTTGGGTTGGACAGCAGTCTCTCCCTCCCTCTCTCTTTACGTAACGTGGCTCGTGTCAAAGAATCTTTTCAGTGAATTGGTATTTTCTCACCGACTCCTAAAATCTAAAGCCTTTAAAAAAAATACGTTGTAGCGACATTAAGGTTATACTCTAGCATGAGGCTGATAACACTTCAGGCCTTCAGCTGTGTGGTACACTTGTTTTTTTCTGCAATGACAGCAGTGATCTAAGATAAACGGGTGAAATGTATAAAGAGTCCGATCTAGTTTGTTTCAGTGTGTAAACCTAGAATAACTGCAGGGTTAATGGAGTGACAACAATGGAAAAGCACCGACCACGTGACTCTGCACAGAAGTGGATTTTGCCAGGAGCGACACTCCTGCATCCAACAGTTAATAGAAGGGTGGAATTATTAGGCCTGGATGGGGTTTGAAATTCATTTTGACTAGTGTCCTTCAACCTTCCAACTCTGTGATTCATTTTGTAACGCTTAACTTGCAATATGGGTACTGATTTTATGTATTTATTTTTATCTTGTTCTTCCACATTCTTTCTCTGCTCTTTCTCCGGTCTTCTATGCTCCTCTTTACAAAATGTAGTTGTGGCCCTCTTGGTGCAATCTACTTAATCTAAAATCATGACTCAGTTATCGGTTGCAACTCTCTGGTTGAAAGCCAGTGACCCAACCCCTTGAAACAAGACAAGTTTCAGTTAACCCAATCCTTTAGAAACTAGGGTCACATCCACAGTATACATTTACAGACCTCACAGAGCTACAATTCCTGGCACTCTTAACAAATGACAGTTCCCAGGATTCTCCATCCCTGTTAAGCTGGTATAAGAGTTCTTTAAATGTATGGTATGGATGTGACTTAGCTCACGTATTCCACACTGTAGAGGGATCATAGGACTTCTTCAGAAGTGTGTGTGCACACGAAAGCTCATACCAATAACAAACTTAGTTCGTCTCTAAGGTGCTACTGGAAGGAATAATTGCTTGATTTATCCTGAAGAAGAGCAGATTTAGCTCACACACCTGAAGGGCTTTCACATAGAAGAGGCCAATGGCGTCTTTGCTGCCCCAGAAGGTAGGACAAACAAGATCATATGGGCCTATATGACGTGAGATTTCAGTTTAACATTTTGGAGGAAAGGTAAATCATTTATGGGGTGGGGAGCGGACTGTTCCTCCCAGAAGGCCTTCAAGCAGAAACTGGGCAATTTGCTATGCTCTAAGTTTGGATTTCCTGTTAATGGCCTACTAGGCCCTCTTCTCCAAATGCCAAAGAAGGCCCCCTCCAATTCCTATGATTCTCAGTCAGAAGAACATAAGAAGAGTCAATCTTGGTGAGTTTCATAGGCACCTGTTTGTGGGTCAGTGTGCCTTAGAAAACCAGATCTAGATTATTCAGGGAAGTGAACCATATCATGCTGTTTAGCAGTGATGACAGGTCTTTTTTGGCAAATGTGTTGGGAATCCAAGTTTAATGTATAAGAGGTTGCCACCAACGAAACATTTCAGATGTCTGCTTTGACTTGTGGACGCATTTTGCGCTTAAAGATTCTCCATTTGCGAGCACTTCCAAAAGTCTGGGTGCCGTTTTTTTGTGCCTGGGTGACACTCAAGGATTACTAAAATGTATGTGCTTTGAAACCACGAAGTATATGTTAAGGATAGACGATATGTTAAGGAATTTAACAATGAAGAGTAGAGTGTTTTGAAAACTGAAGTATGGTACCAATATTTTTATTGTAAACACCAGATTAAGCATGAATTAAGAATTTCTGCTAAAAATGTGATATTAACAATGTGTCACTTATGTGAAATGTGTATCAATTCATGCTCATCAAATTAATAAATAAAAAGTGTTGCCAGCCCCTCCCCTCGGTGGCGACTAGACATTCTGTTTTGGCGCCCACAACCCAGGTACCAGAAGCCATTTGGCTCCTAGCTTTTCTACTCCAGTTTCTAACACTGCTTTCAGAGCACGTTACAGTGCAAAGTCAAAGATGCATTCAAATGTGTGTGTCTGAGGCCGTATCTGCACTGTAATAGGGGCTGAGGTGGTGCTTGAATATGTGTTCCCTACCCCCCTGACAAAGCTACAGTTCTGAGAGTGGTTTAACAATCCCTCTTCCCAGGTAACTGGGAATTGTAGCTCTGTGTGGGGAATAGGGCTCTCCTAACAACTCTCTTGGGACGCGGGTGGCGCTGTGGGTAAAACCTCAGCGTCTAGGACTTGCCGATCGTCAGGTCGGCGGTTCGAATCCCCGCGGCGGGGTGAGCTCCCGTCGTTCGGTCCCAGCTCCTGCCCACCCAGCAGTTCGAAAGCACCCCCGGGTGCAAGTAGATAAATAGGGACCGCTTACCAGCGGGAAGGTAAACGGCGTTCCATGTGCTGCGCTGGCTCGCCAGATGCAGCTTGTCACGCTGGCCACGTGACCCGGAAGTGTCTCCGGACAGCGCTGGCCCCCGGCCTCTTAAGTGAGATGGGCGCACAACCCTAGAGTCTGTCAAGACTGGCCCGTACGGGCAGGGGTACCTTTACCTTTAACAACTCTCAACACCCTTAATAAACTACAGTTCTCAGGATTCTTGGGGGGAAACCATGATAGTTTAAAGTGGTGAGATACTGCCTTAAATGCAGATGGGGCCTGAATCTCTGCTGGAAAAGAGACCTATGGCTTCTTGCATTTTGTGCCATGCATATTGCATTTCCCACCTGCTCCATAGACTGACAACCCATCTGCAGCAAGAGTGAGGAACCTGCGTCCCTCCAGATGATGCTCTGTGTTCTTGGCAAACACAGCCCACTGTCTACAGTGGTGGTCCCCAGATGTGGAGCTCCCTCCCTGTGAATATTGCGTGTGTCTCTAACACGAGTGTCTTTTCAGGGCCAGTTAAAGACTTGCTTCCGCCCCTCCCCCAGGCCTTTGACACATTAGTGTTAATGATACCCACAAACTTCTGCCACTGGTATTTTTATGGTTTTAACAATGATTTCAGATTGTTTTGCTGTTGTGGAATGATGATTGAAGGTCAAGAGATAAGAAAAATGATTGGATAATTGCATAAGATGGACAGTCGCTAGTCATGTGACTCTTGACCACAAGATTGCCACTGTGCTGAGAGGATGGAGGAAGAGGTCCCAGTTTGATTGGAATAAGGCATGTGATTTCTTGCTCTTGTGACTGGTTGTGGAAACTTGCTCTAAAGTAGAGTAAGGTTTTTACAGCCTCTGGCATATCAATTTTTATGTTGTTGTTCCTAGCATAAAACCATAGGCTGGGAGACATGATTAGGCCAATGCCAAGGAATTGGGTTTACTCCTTGTAGTTGATCCTACCACTATGGCTACCGATTGCAGCAGATCCCACCTAAATATTCCCATTGGTTATCTTTTGGTTTTCGAGTGAGGGTAAACCTAGATCCTTGGAGACTCAGGCAGAAGTTGAGCAAATAATAAAATATTTATTTTACAGAACAAAATTGATAAAATACAGGATGTGTCATCTGATACTCTTTCAGGAAACAGTTAACTTATTGATCATTATACTAAATCTAGTAGGTGTTACTGGCTTCTAAACAAGGTAGTAAACACACAGTTGCTTAATTCAGTTATTACTCCTCATTTAGATGTTACAGGTTTCTAGTAAAAGGTAAAGGTAAAGGTACCTCTGCCCGTACGGGCCAGTCGTGTCCGACTCCAGGGTTGCGTGCTCATCTCGCTCTAGAGGCTGTGAGCCGGCGCCGTCCAAAGACACTTCCGGGTCACGTGGCCAGCGTGACGAAGCTGCTCCGGCGAGCCAGCACCAGCGCAGCACACGGAAACGCCGTTTACCTTCCCACTATAAAGCAGTACCTATTTATCTACTTGCACTAAGAGTGCTTTCGAACTGCTAGGTGGGCAGCAGCTGGGACCGAACAACGGGAGCTTACCCCACTGCGGGGATTCGAACTGCCCACCATACGATCAGCAAGTCCTAGGCACTGAGGTTTTACCCACAGCGCCACCCGCGTCCCAACACAGGTTTCTAGACTAGATGGTAAATGCTCAGCTTATTTCCAGTTATTTCGCTTCAGTTTTTAACTTAGTTGTTGTGTAGCTGTTACAGCTTAATACATTGGTTCTTAAACAAGCTGGGACTTTCTGTCAGTTTCCAACCTTTTCTCAATCCCACTCCTGAGGTACTTCCAGCAGTATAATAGACTCAGTGGATCACTACACCCCTCTTAACTGGTTTGGGAGTCTTTTATTTCTAGATCTCTCTCCTCCTGACTGACACAGGACCCAAGGATACGGTATCCTCACAGCTTCTACTTCTCCAACTCAGCCCTCCAGTTAACTCCCATCTGAATACTCTCCCAAGATAGTATTTTTCTATCTAAGGTCAGAGGCTTCCTTCTCTGGCTACAGATAATTTCCTCAGAGTGGATGTTGCACGGCACGCATAGATCCGAACTCTCCTTCTCTTCCTCTTGCTCTCTCTTCAGCCTACCCTATCTGAACCCTCCCTCAGAAACGGCTCCTTTTATTTTCTCTCCCAAAGTGCTGGTCCATCTCCCTCTGACCAGCTGTCTTGGCAGCAATCGGAGAGATGCTCCAGCCTCTGGTGGAATTCCAAGGCACTGCATCACCAGACTCTGGTCTGGCTCAGCTGTCTGTCACACTCCTCTTCTAATATCTCTTGGAAGCATAGCTCATTGTAAGGCAGCCAGCTTCCATGGAGGCAGCTTATACTGTTTCTCTGTTAGGGATAGACAGTTTCTTTGGTAAGACTAAAGATTGGACATGGGGGGGGGGGGGCGCGTCTAAGAACTGAAGAAGATCCTGCTGGATTCAGCCAGGGGTCCATCTAGGCCAGCATCCTGCTCCCCCAGTGGCCAGCCAGGTGGCTATGGGAAGCCCACCATCAGGACGTGAGCACAACCACACTCTCCCCTCTTGTGATTCCAGCAACTGGCATTGAGAGGCATGCTGCCTCCAACAGTGGAGCTAGAACATCTGCAAAAACCTTGCATTCTTTCAAAGCTGCAATCCCATGTGTGCTTCTTGGGCCTAAGCCTTGAAAACTGAAGTGGAAAAACGTTTTATTTTATGTACTTATTCAACAAAATGTATATACCACTTTACTGTAAAAAGAAACAAAGCAAGCCTTTAAAACAATAGCACAACTTCCCAGTAAACATGCATAGGTTCGGATTATAATACAGTGGTGCCTCGCAAGACGAAATTAATCCGTTCCTCGAGTGTCTTCGTCTAGCGGTTTTTTCGTCTTGCGAAGCAACCCTATTAGCGGATTAGCGCTATTAGCGGTTTAGCGGCTATTAAAGGCTTAGCGGCTTAGCGGCTTAGCTGCTAAAAGGCTATTAGCGGTTTAGCGGCTTAGAAAAAGGGGGGGGAAGCGAAAAAAAAAAACTCAAGACTCGCAAGACATTTTCGTCTTGCGAAGCAAGCCCATAGGGAAACTCGTCCTGCGAAGCAACTCAAAAACGGAAAACCCTTTCGTCTAGCGGGTTTTCTGTCTTGCGAGGCATTCGTCTTGCGGGGCACCACTGTAGTTGCTTGAACCTTGCAGATGAGCATATATTTTAACCGGCCTGCTTTGTGTTTCTGTTTGCTTCATCTCCTGTTGTGCAGCTATTAGTGTCTCAGCAAAGACAATTAATCTGCACGGTTGCTTCTCTCTTCCTTTAAAAGCAGTTGAGTGTAGTCTCTTCATTTTTAAGATGCTGTGAGAAATTAATGGCCACAATGTTTGTTGCACATTAGTATGCTGTTTTATTTTTGGGATCCATTATTAGAGATGCTAAATCAAAGATACTGGATCACATTTTCCCAGCCTGGTGCTCACCAGTTGTTTTAGACTGCAGCTGCTATCATCCTTGATGGGGTTTTTAAATAATAATTTTTAAATTAGTTTTTAATTACAGTCCAATAATAGCCTCATTATAACAATACCAACTTATAATACAATTATTAATACCAACCATTCAAGTAGCAAATTTTATAATTTAGTTAAAGTGGCCCCCCCGTGTGCTAGATTTGGTGATTTCATAATTTTCTTTATTTCTGCATTCCAAAATCTTATTTTTTTCAAGTACATTCCAGTCATAATAATCCATTATACTCCAACTGCAATATTAATAACTTCCATTCCTGCTGACACATTAAATGATTTATAAAACTTTAAGTGAGGAACTCAAACTATATCCTTGTTCTTCCTGTGTGTGGCAGTTATTCTGTCCATGGTGTTTCGTCCTGTCCTTGTAAGATGTTATGTCTTTCTTTCCCCCAATTGTTGCTATTATCCATCATCTCATTGTTATTCCAGAAATTTCTTCATCGCTCCATCTCGTGCTTCATTGTTTTGCACCGAGAACTTTAACAACAGCTGCAAAAGTCGTTCTGTCCCAGTAAATAAACTGTTGCCACCATTTCTACCCTCAGTCCAGGAAGAAGAGTGGTCTGTCAGACTGCAGATGACTCAATAAAGAACCTTATCAGTTCCTTGGCAGCTCACAAACTCATTTCATCCTTCCTTCCAGCTGAAGATATATCTTTCCAATTAAATTAAATTCCAAGTCCTATTAGCATTACTCTGTTCACTTCATAGATAATAAAGGATGGGGAAGAGTTAGCTCTAAGTTTCCATCGCAAACCTTTTGCAAAATAGCGCTTCCCTCCCAAAATAGAGAAACTGTAGGCTCCCCTTCCTCTCCCACCGTCTTTTGCACCGAATGAAGTCTTATCTCAAATTCAAACCTTGAAGTCCTTGCAGTTGGTTTGTTCCGCAGTTTGTGATCTCCTCTCTTCCAGTACTTTATTCCAATGAAGCTCTAATTAACTGGAGAACCTCGGCTTCTTAATGGCGGCATTGGAGGGTTTTTGTTAGGCAAAGTGCTTTTACATTCAGCGCCTCCCTGCCCCCCACATTCCATGCAGGAGCGAGAGCCAGGTACCAAGAGGAACTGTGAGTGAAGCCAGTTCCCCCCATCCCTGGGGGGAATTTGCAAGAATGATTTACCCTCAATCATCCTTGTTTTTCCTTCGCCTACGATCTCCTGCTGTTGTGGGGCTGCCTCCATTAAGGCAGAGCAGAACCGGATGGTTGGCTGTGGTGACTGGTAGGGATGGGTGACATTGATAAAACGTCCAACATTGTTTGGAAGTCCACATCATGATAATGGTTTCATAATATTTGACATGGTGATATATCGCAAATCACAATGTGTGTGTGTGCGCGCTACGCAGCTTGTACTGTCCCTGGCCATTGGGCATGCTAGCTGGGGCTGATAAGAGTTGGGAGTCCAGCAAGGGTGGAGGAATTGCAAGTTTCGACAACCGGGCAGGGAAGGTGACCCATTTCTGCATGCACTGTTTGAAATTGTGGCCAAGTGATTGCCAGTCCTTGCAAACTCTTTTATTTGGTTTCCATGATTGGGTTTCCCTGAGAAATTTGATTCCATTCACATTAAAAGGTGAATCTACCTAATTTGCACTTTCTGAAACAATGTGCACACTGAAACATAGTCATCCATCAAAATCGGCATTTTCCCACATTTTGCAATGCAATTCTCTAGCCCAGGAATGAGTACAAAAATGCATACACTGGGGGAAAGTGTACATAAAAATGCATATTTTTTTTTTGTGTGTAGAAAAGTGCATCCTATTATGGGAATTTGCTTTGCAAAAATGTCTATATTTGGCAAAATTGCATAAAAATGTGTCTGTCTAGCTAAAATAGCACTACAAGGCTGATGAGTTTTCATGGATATTCTTTTTATTTAAAAAACTGTAAACTGACATGGAAATGTGAACTGCACTTAAGACTGAAAAAAGGAGACATTCAGGTGGAATCTACACACATATAAAAACAGTTCTGAAAATGCTTTTTAAAAGCGTTTTTAAAAACACATTGAATTTTCCATAAGGCTCACCAATGCCATCTAGTGTCACATTGCATATTGCACTTAAAACACATTTTAAACGGTTTATTTGCAGCTGTATGGCGCTGTGGGTTAAACCACAGAGCCTAGGACTTGCCGATCAGAAGGTCGGTGGTTCGAATCCCTGCGACGGGGTGAGCTCCCTTTGCTTGGTCCCTGCTCCTGCCAACCTAGCAGTTCGAAAGCACGTCAAAATGCAAGTAGATAAATAGGTACCGCTCCGGCGGGAAGGTAAACGGCGTTTCTGTGAGTTGCTCTGATTTCGCCAGAAGCGACTTAGTCCTGCTGGCCACATGACCCGGAAACTGTACGCTGGCTCCCTCGGCCAATATAGCGAGATGAGCGCCGCAACCCCAGAGTTGGCCACGACTGAACCTAATGGTCAGGGGTCCCTTTACTTTACCTTTAGCTGAGTCCTCAGAAAAATCAAAACTGACAGGTTCCACCATTCCTACTCACACTTGAAATGGATGGGTGTGGCTTGAGTGAAACAGCCTCAAAAGACACAAGGGGAGGCCTGCGAACCGGTGGTTCACTGCCACAGATCTGGAGGGTTACATGCTCGCCATCTACAGTGGACAGGATGCAAATAAACATGTCTTCCTTAACACACTGGTTTCAGTGTGGCGTGTGCTGGCTTCAATACTAGTGCAGGATAAACGCTTCTGTTTCTACTATTAAAACATTTTGATCTGGCTGAAATGTAGTCACTCTGGCTTTCAGCCTCCCTGTCCCTCCCTTCTCCTGCTTAACTTGTGACTGTAGATGTGTTTTCATTGGACTTTACAGTAGCTGCCTAAGAGGGGAGAAAATATCTCCTGAATTGAAACCTTTCAAGCACTGAGCTGAAAGGACTTGTTTGTGTTGGAAATCCCATGGCAACAGACTTTTGGTCAGTTCCCTTACTTGCCGTTGACTCAGTACAAACCCAAGTGAAGTAACCTCTATGGTGTCTTTAGGCAGCTAAGCTTGCAGCTAAATTAAAAATAAGGCTTTTTGGAAAGCCATTAATATGCCTCATCTAAAGCATGTTACTCTGCAGTAGCCAAATCTTGGAAAGACTTTAATTGGTGGTGGATGCTGCTTAATAAACAGATATACAAACTCTGTCTGTGTAACCTAATTTTTACTGCTTTTCAGTTGTCACATTGACGAAAGGTTCTGTGGTTCTGAAGCATCATTTCATCTTTCCAGTTGAAAGTCTTGTAGCTGACTTGTTTATATGAAGCAGCCTTTGAATAATTCAAAGAGAGATCCTACCGCAGCTTTTTAATCTGGCACTGTACACTTGTCTTCCCATAATTAAGTATTGTTTGATGTCTCTTTGTTTCAGAGTGATCGTCTTTTGATCAAGGGTGGTAAAATTGTTAATGATGACCAGTCTTTCTATGCAGACATTTACATGGAAGATGGCTTGATAAAGTAAGTACCCAGTAATATTTTTTTTTGGAGTGGGGTTGCATATCAGAAATGTAAAATCTCATAAAAGAAATCGCAGACAACTCAGCAAGGCTTTTGTGTTTTTGTTTTAAAACCTTAGCTGGTGATCGTAGGGTCCGGGTAGGTTTATGTTGGGAGAGTCATTTGTTAGATATTGGGTTTTGAACCATATAATGCTTTAAAGGTCAAAACTGGCAGCTTTCTGGGGTTGTCTAAAAACTGGGCATAGGGTTCCATTCTCCTAAGAAGCTACCTAAGAACCACCTTGCCTCCTTGGAGAGCTCCCCAGTATCTGACTCTTGGTGTTCTAGCTGAGGTGGCCTCTCTCCCAACATTTCTTTCTCATTTGAGGACTCATTTCTTACTTTGTTTTATTTTTTTACCATATTCTTGAATGGTGACCCACCTTGGATTAAACTGTAGCCTGGTGGTAGGTCCCGATCCATCAGCTGAAGCTCTAGAGTAGCCTTCATTCAACCTTGAGTTGTTGGGATACAACCCCATTGTCCTCAGCCAGCATGTGCAAAGGTTAGGGGTAGTGGAGTCTGCAGTTCACTGGAGTCTGGGGACCAGGGGTTGGGGAAGGTTTCTTTAGGATCTTGGGCAGAGCGTTTCCCATCACTTGTTCCCAGAACTCCTTTAAGTTGTCCTTCTCCAACCTGTTGCCAGAGAGTGTGGTTGTTCTGTCTGGGGCTGATGGGAATTGTTGTTCTCAGCATATGTTGAGGCACCAAGTTGCAGGAAGGCTTCTTTAACTGGAGATGCTAGCAACTGAATCTGAAAGCCTTTGTGTGGAAAGCATTTGCTGTGCCACTCTGATCCCTTCCTACTGCTCTGAGTGTGCTTTTGGGTGTTTCCCCCTCTCCTAAGCATGTTTGGCTTCAGTGTCCACCTAATAATAATAATAATAATAATAATAATATTTTTGTTCTCCAGTGTTATCTGCAAACTCATCCCCTAATCGACAGTAGCTTTGCCTACTTTAGTTTCTGAGCTATAGGTTGTCAGTGGAACAAGCTTTATAGGTTACAGTCTGGTGCACACTTACATTAAGCTCAGTGGGACTTACTTGTGAGTAAGCATGCATAGGGTGGCACTGTTGAAGTAGGGCTGGGAGCCCCACCTCAAATCCATTGGATCCAGCAGGGTGATTCTGACAATGTCGGATCCAGGTTTTAAGAGAGTTTCTTGCAGCACATACTTTCTGACATAATAAAAACATCTTCCAGACTTCCTTGGAATAAAATTTTCTTTGCGTAGGAGAAAGGCGGGAACATGGATACACATCTTGGCTATGTGTTCAACACATCTGTTCTTTTACTCAGAATTTAAAGTAAGAGTAGTCAGTGACAGACATGTAATTATAATATCACACACACACACACAAACAACAACAACTTTAAAATATGAGCAAATTAGTTCACAGCAGAAGTTTGGTATGCTTCTTGGATGAAGAGACCTGAAAGGTTTCAAGTCATTTTCAGAAAGTTCTAAGTTTCTCCTATATCCGGGGGCCTGGGGGCCACATTACATCCTAGGGAACCTTTCAGGGACCACATGACAGTGGTGGATGGGGCCAGAGGAAAAAGTGGGTGGGGCAATGAATGTGATTGTTATATTTGTACAGTAGGCTACATTCTAACTACAGTATGCTAAGTGAGAGGCTCCTGCGCACACACATTTCTCTGATCTCAACCAAAGCAAACAAAACACATTATTCAACTGCAACAATGATTATTTCTTAGATTTATTAGTCGCCTGTTACCAAGCTTCAATAATACAGAGCTTCAATAATACTGTATACCATGTTGCAACTCCTATAGTTTATAGAAAAGCAAACACAACCTCTCTTTTGGTTTTGTGTAGCCACGAATGCAAACATTCCTGTTGGGCAATGAGAATGATGGCAAAGCAGAGATGGAAAAAAAGAATCTGATTATATACCACTTTTTTTCTATACTACGCTTCTTCTTTACTGAGGGGGCTATGCATGTTCCATCCGCCTTAAAAGTTTATAGTGCAAAAGTGGTTGCAACTATGGCCTATGCGGTCCCTTTATGGGGCGTCTTTGTAAACCTCTTGCCTCTGGTGACATTGCAAAATCTTTTTCTAAGACGCCTTTTGAAACTACCCTCCTGTGTAAGCAACTCTGCCATTCGCTTAGAACTTAAGACCCCCTCCCTTGAGATTCTGATGTGGAGACATGCCTTTAATTATTGGCTGTCCCTTTGGCATAAATTGCCAAACTACCATCTTATTCAGTGCCTTTGGAGAGATGAATTCACCAGCCCATGGGCAACAAAAATCCATTCCAAACTGTTGTCTTATGGAATCTCTCCCTCCGATATACTTAATTTAGATCTAATTACAGCTAAAAAGGTCATCAAACAAAGATTGGAGGATGTAGATTTACAACAAAATCTTACCACAGGTGGAGGTACATGTTCCCCGATATATCAGGGCATTACATCTATGTCCCAGATACCTCGATATCTGTCTACTTTATCGGCTGCGTCGCATAGATTCGCATTTGTTAGAGCCAGATTTAATGTGTTCCCCTCAAATGTGCTGAGCAATAGATTTTCTAACGGTAAAATCTCTGTTTTGTGCGCATGTGACAACAAATCGATAGAATCCCTTTATCATATCTTGTTTAATTGCCCCTTATACAATGTTCCCGATCAAGGATCCTGAGTTCAATCATCCTGGAAATTGCTGCTAAACCACCTGAATTACATCTAGCTTATCTACTCCAGGACATTGACTCTTATAGAACTTTACAGGTTGCTAGATTCCTGATCTCAGTTCTGTCTTATAAAAGACTTCAGGGAATGCTGCATGACTATTAAAAATTCAGTAAACTCTATGCACCATCTTTATCTTCAAGGCCATAACACGGTACAGTTAGAGATTATGCGTTGAAATATTTTAGTTGATATTTTAGATTGTAAAATGCTATTGATTTTATCTATTGATTTTTATCTATGGATTTGTTTTACCTTGTGGGCTTATAGCCGAATAAAGTATTATCTATCTATCTATCTGTGGAGATGAAGTTGATGTCTCAAGCCTTCTTCTGTTCATGTTACAGCACAGAAGTTGCATTGCTGGAAAGTTCTAGAAATATGATTGGCGGGACACCTGATGAAAGTTTATTATTTATTGAATTTATATAACACCCTATACCTGGAGGTCTAACGGCAGCCTGGGGCATATGCTTGACTCTGTCCATGTGGTTATGACATTTTGTGTGACTCTGCACAAATGGTCTCTTCTCAGACAAATTGGAGAAAACCTGATTGTGCCAGGGGGAGTGAAAACCATTGAAGCTCATGGACGGATGGTGATCCCTGGAGGAATTGATGTCCACACTCGCTTCCAGATGCCTGAACAGGGGATGACCTCTTCTGATGACTTCTTCCAAGGAACAAAAGCAGCCCTGGCTGGAGGCACCACTATGATCAGTAAGACCTTGCTCTCTATGAAATATAAATGTAATAGGCTTAACACCAATCCTTGTACAGTGGTACCTTGGGTTACAGACGCATCAGGTTACAGACGCTTCAGGTTACAGACTCCGCTAACCCAGAAATAGTACCTTGGGTTAAAAACGTTGCTTCAGGATGAGAACAGAAATTGTGCGGCCCCATTAGCTAAAGTGGTGCTTCAGGTTAAGAACAGTTTCATCTTAAGAACAGACCTCCAGAACGAATTAAGTTCTTAACCCAAGGTACCACTGTAATAGGAGAGAGAGAGAGAATGCAAGCTGGTTCCAGGACAAATGAGGAAAAGGCTCTGGTTGAAACAAGCTACAAATATCAATAAAGGGGTGTAACCAATGGAAACTGGGCATGAAATTGATTTTATAGTGTAAAAAAAGTTACCAACAGAAAATACTCCAAGGCTCTGCTCAAGTTCACATTGAGCTTGATAGCCATCATGGCCAGTGGTCAGGGATTGTATTTATATTGTGATTTTATGTTGTAACCGCCCTGAGACCTTATGATGATGATGATGATGATGATGATAATAATAAAAGGAGTTCTAGTCGTACAGTCCTACAGCAACTGGCGGGTGACAGTTTCTCTTGCACATTTTACTGGGAAGGCATCAGAGAACTTTATTTGCAGATTCAGGTTGTGTTTGCAGTCACTTTTACTTAGGGGGAAGATTACAGCCCATCCAATCAAGAAGAGGTAGCTCTGTCATTTGCAGAACTTCCTTATGGGGAACCTATGATTTTGCTGAGCAGAGAACAGCCATGCTTATGGCAGACTTTACAAACCTTTCAAGTCAAGTAAAAATTTATTGGTTAACCCAATGCATGTTATAGCCAAACATTTCAAGTCAGACTGATATTATTCACTGTTCCTAAGCCGCCTTCCATGGCTCTTCAACTCCAGGTCTATAAAAAGTTCCAAGAAATGCCCAGGAAGGGGCAGAAGTCACACTGTGCTCCCTCCAGCCTTGCCACAGATTGTTTCCCTAACTTCAAAGGGGGTCACTGGCTGTCAGTGCCAGACCAAGACACTGGGAAATAAATGTTCACCCACCGACTCTGCTGCCATAGGTATGAATGGAAAGAGCTTGAATTGAAAGTGACTGTACCAATGTGTGCAGCTATTCCAGTGCATATTTACACTGGAAGATGAAACTTTGAGAAGAGTGAAACTGCTGTTCATGACCCCAGATATCAAAGTACCCACTAGCCACACCGCTAGCAGCTGCTAATTCAGCGTTAATTGGAAAGCATTAATTAGAAAGGGCTGTATGTGCATGACCTCTTCCTCACAAACAGGACCTCGGTTTGACCCAGATGTACTGATTTGCAGCATCCTCTTGCCTTTGCAATTGGAGACTAGCAGAGCCTATACATTTTGTTTTGTATCTCTGGTTCTACAGAATACTAGAATGTTATTCATTTGAAATGAAAATCTGGGGGTAATAGTTTGGGGGTTGGCGGCGGGGTCTGGCACCCTTGTACACCCCCCGATGCCCATGTGTCCGACTTATTAATTTAGAAACAATCTAAAATACTCTCAATAGTAAGACAGATAAAATCATCACAAAATTTAAAATAACTATACATAACTAAATTATATGTCTGGGTAGACTTGCTGGGGGAAAGGTTTTGTACTTCCCCCACCCCATACACATTTGCTGTGTCAAGAAGGGAAAGGCAGCTGGGGTGGGTGTGTGGCTCAGTCATGTGAGCCTCACTGTAGTCACACGTCGTACATACTGGGTAGAGCCAATATGGTGCCCTTCAGATGTTGCTCAACTGCAACTGCCACCATCCCTGATCATTGACCACGATTGCCGGGGTTGATGGAGGTTGTAGTCCAGCGACACCACATTGCATACCCCTGGCCTATACAGAGACCCCTCCAGGTTCCTAGGCTTTCAGCCTGATATATATGAGTCTTTACTCACATTTTCATGGTTTTCCTCCAGACTTGAAATGGGGATCAACCAGTTGGTACACTGACAACTGAGCAACTGTTTACTCACCATGACCAGCTTTTAGCTTGGAGATGGCCAATGCGGTGTCTTCTGGCCGTCGCTGAACTACAGCTCCTATCAACCCTGAACAATGCTTGCTGGGGCTGATGGGATTTGTAGTCCAAGCGCTGCAGGGCGAGACCTCTGTTTTGGCTGCTGGCTTTTGATGCCTTAATAGGAACACAGGAGACCTCCTTGTACCAGGCCTGACTACTTGCCCATTTACTGTAGGTTCCTTTTAGTCCCTGATGTTACTATTTATGGGCTTCCAGGCACCTGTGCCTCTGGACACTATATAGGGGGAAAAAAAGTAATGTGAGACAGAAGCTGGTAGACAGTTGAATTTCTCTAGCAGATTCAGAGGTGTGATCCATAAGTTGACACTTTGCACATGGTGATATTTATGCCTTCCAGGTACACAGAGATTCAAAAGACTCCACCTTTGAAAAATCTGGGGAAACAAAATCAATTGCGTTTCCTTTGGTTACTTGCAAAATATCATAAGATATGTATTTCTGCAGAATTTGGAATGAATGAGGGATACTGGGCAAACATACACAGATTTGCAGATTTCCCTTCCCTTTTCTATTTTATACTTTGCTCCATCACGGTACATAAAATATAGCTCTGTTTTAATGAATCTTAAAATTGTTACAATCCTAATTTAATTCCAGTGTTAAATAAAAATGTATTTAGTTTACATTATTTGAGGGGTGTGTGTATATATAGGCATGAATTAGAATCTTTTATTTTTCCTGTGGAAACTTAAATCTGACTTCCCAATACATAATAATTTAACAAAATGTATATGTCGCTTGATTGTAATAAGACCTTATAAAGTTTTACAAGGAATATTAAAATTATCACTAAAAACAATTAAGAACAATTAAATATAATTTTAATTATTAATAAAAAGGATTAAAACATGTCAACATTTATGCGTCTGCACAGGCGAGCCTGAACAAAAATGTTTTAAGAAGGTGCTGAAAAGAGTACTTCCCCCTTATCCCCGTTCCAACGGCTCAGGGGAAGCTTTGGAGCAGCCGGCGGCTGCGCTCCTGGGCTGCTTCTGTGGGGGAGCTGCGCTGTGGCGTATGGTCCTAAAGCCTTACTTTAACTTTTCACGTTTGGAATTTGGAAAAAAACTGTGGCTTATATTCGGGCCAATATGGTAAATGCTGAGTTTGCTGCTGATCCTGGCCTTTTTTTTTTCCTTTTTTTTGTATTTAGGTCAATTGTTTGGTGTCCTATGGACATTGTCTTGAGTTAGTTGCTTTTCTACAAAATTAATAATAATCACATGTTGTTTAAATGGGAAAGAATTGAAACTGGATACTCTTTTCACCTCTGGCACCAGAGTATTTTTTTGGTCTGCCCTGACACATTTTAAAACATTAATTATTTAACTTAATTTGATTTACATTTGTATGTGTGTTATATAACCACATTTATTTTTTATTACCTGAGGGATGAAAACACTTTAATAATTGCACTTTTGCTTATCTGAACTTGCAGAAGCATTTGTTTGCCAACACTACGTGGAATAAAAAACAAAACAAATCTGGCAGATGGATTGCATGCAGAGATATCCTCCCTGCCTGCCCCCACACCTTTTAGTATTGCTTTCTGGTAACTATATATTAAAAGGTAAAGGATTCCTGGATGGCTAAGTCCAGTCAAATTCGACTCATCTTGCTTTTCAGGCTGAGGGAGCCGGTGTTTTTCCGAAGACAGCTTTCTAGGTCATGCGGCCAGCATGACTAAACCGCTTCTGGCGCAACGAAGCACCATGACCGAACAACGGGAGCTCACCCTCTCACACGAATTCTTACCTTTCCCATATATTAAAAAGCATGACTCAAGCCCTTAAGTTTAACATTTTCAAGAGGATTGGAAACAATTACAAATGAACAAAAAATAATTTATTAAACCCTGCTTCCAACATAATTTATTCATTTGAACATATTAAGCCAACCTTGTAAATAAGCCCACAAATTCCTAGCCTGATTTCTTCTTTTTAACTATTCAGCTAAGAAACTACGTCTTCTGCCAGCCTGTTCAGTAGAAGACAAAGAAGGAGCATAGGAATCTGTCTTAACCAAGTCACACCATTGCTTCAACTAGTTTGGTCTTGTCTACACAGCGGGTGGTTCAGTGGTTTAGATCACAGAGCCTCTTGGGCTTGCCAATCAGAAGGTTGGCAGTTCGAATCTGCCTGGCAGGGTGAGCTCCTGTTGCTCTGTCCCAGCTCCTGCCAACCTAGCTTTTTGAAAGCATACCAGCACGAGTAGATAAATAGGTACTGTTGTGGCGGGAAGGTAAATGGCATATCTGTCTTCTCTGGTTTCCGTCACGGTGTCTCGTTGCACCAGAAGCAGTTTAGTCCTTCTGGCTGCATGACCTGGAAAGCTGTGGACAAACTCCAGCTCCCTCAGCCTGAAGCGAGATGAGTGCCGCATCCCATAGTCGCCTTTGGCTGCACTTAATTGTCCAGGGGTCCTTTACCTTTTATCTGTCTACACTTACTGGTAGCAGCCTTCCAGATTTTAGATGGGACATTCCTAGTTTCATCTGCAGATTCCAGGAATTGAACCTGATACCATCTGCATGCAAAGCAGGTTCTCTGCTACTGAGCTTGGCTCCTTCCCTCAGGGGTGTACCTAGGGGTTGGTTAGGTAGGCCCTTGCCAAGGGCGCAATCCCTGGAGGGTGCAAAAATCACCCCTCTCTATTCTGGTTCAGAGTGGCTAGGAGCCCTCCTGCCGTCTAAAACATGCGTTTGCTGATGGGGGGCGGCACCAAGACATCTTGTCAACTCTGCCTTCCCTAAAGGATCATAAGAGGCAGAGCTGAGATGTGAGCTTCCGTTTCAGAAAACAGCACAAAACAGTGGGCTGTTGGGAGAGGAATGTCCCTCTTTCGCCAGTCCACTCACTTGCATGTTATTTTGCATACTCACCTATGTGGAATTCCTGCTCCTCTAAATCTACCAGCTGTACTGCTGAGTCAAATTATTGGTCCAGTTTTGCAGTGCCCCCTACTCTGATTGGCAGTCTCTCCACAGTCTCTGATCATGGCTCTTTCCTAATCTCACTTGAGATGCTTTTAGCTAGAAATGCTGGCAACTAAACATGGGGCCTTCTAGATGCAAAGCATGTGCTGCGCACGCCCTTCTCCCCCCCCCCAACTGAGCTGACTCAAGTTTGTTCTGTCTGACTTCACAATAAGAATATATTGTATACCCTGTCATCTGCCATCATAATGAATGGAAATTATTGCTTTTATGGGATTAACTCATGCAAATTAGCTGTGACATTCCTGCTCATGGTAGTGTTCATTCATTGGAGATACATTTGTCAAAGTGGCTTATGCCGTAAGAGACCTGCTGCTTTTAAGGGGTCACAAAGATCTTTGGGTGCTGTTACACAGCAGTTTATTGTGGACTTGATGCTGCCCATGCATGCAGGTTTTGTGCGTCATCCACACAACATCACCACATATTATTTTCCTGTTTTATTAGTATTCATCATTTCCATGGAAAAGATGTGCAGAGCAAAAGTGTGTGGATTCTTTTCTTTCCGCAGTGGGCTAGTTTCTCCACCTGCTTTCCCTTTCTAGTGTCCAGGCAAGCAGGAGGCATTGCAGTTCAAGGTCACAATCCAGCCAGGCAAAAAATACTCAAAGAGGGTACAAAGTGGGACCAGTGAGGGATGTAGTTTGGGAGGCATGGGTGTGGCTGGCAAAGGTGTCTGGTCTAGTGAGATTCTTGAGGGCCAGAGTGAGAGAGGCCTGGTGGACCCTGGGCCTCAGCTTCCACATCCGTGTTGTAGTGTTAAAGGCAAATATTGTATGTGTACTGTTACATGCCCAATAGCCTTGTCTGAATCCTGAATAACTCCTCTCATATTCCTGCCACTTGCTGAAGAGTGTAGCCCCCATCTGTTTCCCTGTCCCCTTCTTACGCCATGTCTCTTAAGTGCATTGTGATAACACAACCAACATGAAGCCTGGTTGTGCATTGTCTGTGTGTGTGCTCCTGTAGCTGAAATGCCTCTTAAAAACCTTTCCAGTGCTATTTTCCTAGCTAAAGTAGTATTATGGATTGCTTTAATGCTGGGATTCTGCTGGGGCTCCTCCCTAGATGAAAGTCCTGCTCAGCCGAGCCTGTGGGGTGGCTTGCCAATTAGCACAGAAGGAAACAGCTGCTTATGCTTTCACGTTGCATCAAGCTTTTTTGTATCTGGTCATGTTGATAGGATTTATTATGCCTTCTTGCTTCTGTCCAGAAAGAAAGATTACTGAGGGTGGAAGCCTCTTTTTGAAAGGGGGATGGTATAAACAAAGATTATGGTGTCATGTCAGGCCAGATAAGGCACTGCGTCGTCTTTCAACAGGTCCAAAACAGAATCTTGAGCTTGTTTGTCTTGCAGGATATTGTAGCAGGAGCAGAATCCCATGGATTTTGCAGTCCGTTGCCGAATCCAGTAACAGCTGGCATGCAGGATAGGAAGGGCATTGGAAAATACATTCCCTCTGGCCAACAGGAAGTGGTACCACTGAGATTTGGTTTGAAATTAAATTGAGGGTTGAATGAATGAATTTTCATGAGCACCTTCTTGAAGAAATAGTACAAACTGAATAAACAGTACAGTTGTACAAACTGTGGAACACTGATGTGGAAAATGATGTGGAACACTGATGTGGAAAAATGAGAGAGAAACTGAAACTGATGGATTCATCCAGCCTTACTAGGACGTGTGCACCATGTCTGCTGCAAACGCTGTGAATATCCTTCCACAGCAGGCTTGCTGTTGAAATTATGTATATCTACATTTGCAGTCTATGCCTCTCTTACACTGGAGGCCTTGGTGCAGATTCATTCTGGCCATTAAAAGAGATGAGTGTGATGTTGATGATGGTATGACAGGTTGAACCCTCTCTTGGCTCATGGTACATTAAAAGGAGCAAAGTGGGAACACGGTTGCCTTTTATTCTAGTTGCACTGGCTTCCGTACTGTCACTTAAGAGTGTGTGTGTGTGAGTGAAAGAGAGAATGAGAATGTACTTTTCCCTGTACGTCCCCTTCTCCCAAGCTTCCCGAACAGTGGAATTTGCAGATAGGGAAGGGAGAGGAGGAACATTTCAAGATCTAAACCAGTGATAGGCAACATGGTTCCCTTCAGATGTTGTTGAACTATAGTTTCTACCAACCCCACCCAACATAGCTAATGGTCAGGGAAGATGGGAGTTGTAGCCTAGCAGCATCAGAAAGCTAAACATGGGGTCGGGCCATAGCTCAGTGGGTAGTGTTTAGGATGCAGACAGTCTCAAGTTCAGCTCCTGGCATCCTCAGGTGCGGCTGGGAATGTCCGCTGCCTGAACCCCTAAAAAGCAACTGCCAGCTTTCAGTGTTCCTAATGAGGCACCTGAATTTTAAAGAAGAAAAGCACATCCATAAAATCGTATTTAATTGTGTGACTTGATTTCATAAGCAACTGCCTTTGCCACGTTCATTATTCAAGCTACTGTATGGTCATTAACAGGGGCTAACAGGCTTGAATGAAATTGCCTTATGGGATGGCGAATTCTTTGCTTAGCTGAAGACTAAAGAGTGCTAAAATGGCATTATTGCCAGCCTCTTTCCAACAGACGTATGTGGATGGCTGACCTAGATATTTCTCTCTTCCTTCTCCCCCTCCCCACATACTCTGAATATGACAAAAAGGATTTGGCATCTTTTCTAGGGAAGCAACCACTGTTAAGTGCTCTGTGCAATCACATTTTAATCTCAAAATGCCACAAAATGGCCCAGATCAATGCAAGCTTCTTTCATGCTGGAGGGTAAACAACATTCTGATGGACTTGATTCATCCTCTTCCCCTTTTGCCTTTAGGTTAGTATTGCTCTGTTCAAACTCACATTTATGTCTCTTTCTGGATGACCTCTGTACTTAGTTTGTAATAACAAAAGTGTGAGGATATAAGGTTGCCTGGGAATAATTTATCCTGGCATGCATATTACTGTATTTTTCACTCTATAAGATGCACTTCCCCTCCAAAAATTAAGGGGAAATGTGTGTGCGTCTTATGGAGCGAATGCAGGCTCCATGGCTTCAGCAAAAGCAACACGAAGCCTCTGGAGTGCAGCGGGAGCTTTCGCTGAAGCCTAGAGAGCAAGAGGGGTTGGTGCACAGAGAGGGAGAGCTACGCAGTGCCCCTTCAGTGAAGCGGGAGGAGAAAAGGAGCCCCTTCCGTTTCTCCTCCCGCTTTGCTTGTTCTCCTCCTCTAAAACTAGGTGCGTCTTACGGTCGGGTACGTCTTATAGAGCAAAAAATACGGTAATTGGAAGTGCTGTGGACTGAACCTGGGACCTTCTGCATGCAAAGCATATACTCTGCTGTTGTGTTATGGTCCCTCCCTAGAGGGATAAGCGTTGTGTTAGTTCAAGAACAAAATGGCAGAATTTGGAAGATCTACACAGATGGAACACAACTTCTGGAAATAAGAAAGTTGAGCTTTCCCAGGGGCAACACTGGGGCTTTGGAAAAATGTAATGAAAGAGTGCACTTCAGAAAATGAATGGTTGTTGCCTAGAGACAATGGTTCTTGGCAATGGTTCTTTCCAGTGCCTTTTGGGTCAACACAGCAGTGGTTGGTGAGCACATACTGTGGTTGCTAGGCACCCACAAAACACCCCCCAAACCATCAGAATAGGTGTTTAGGAGTTGCTCAGGGCTGCTCACTCACTACCCTCTTAGAAGTGTCTGTGTGCCTGAGCACCATAGCATGAAAGCCAATTCTTGCTCCCTGTTTCCTTCAAGCATATTCATTATTAAATTGGCTTAACTTTGATTCAGGGTTTAGTTGCCAGTTCATAGGAACATAGGAAGCTGCCTTAGACCACACCAGACCATCACCCAGGGTTGTCCACACTTGGTCAGCTGTCTAGGGCTTCAGAGTAGGGTCTCTTCCAATCAATACTTCCAATGTAGGCAGCAAGAATGAATCTGTGTTTTCTCTGTATTCTGGCTATTTTTATCATTTCTGGGCATTTGGAAAGATTAACTAATGGTATCATTTTGGATGTACACACTCCTATTGTTTAATGCTTTTGGACCCAGATCGTTTTATTAATTTTTTTATTTTGGAATTGATGTGGCAAATGAAATGTCAGTGGCTCTGTGCACAGCAGTTGTTTATATCCCTTGGTATAGTGATCACCATTCTTAGACTAGCCTGCATCATCTGGCTCCCCACTCACTTTCCTCTAAGCTCATCCATTTCGTTTTGGAAAGAGAGACTTATTCATTGAATCTAGCAGACAGAAAACAACATATAACATCATTTGTCTCCTTGGATTCATTTAGAATCAAGAAGTAAACAAGACATTGTTGCATTTGCAATTGGTTTAGCAGTTGTCTCCGAGTGGAATATCGCTCTTTTCCTAATCTGCATCTATTCCAAGTCAGTTACTTAAATATTTGATTTGCAAAGGATTTGTGAAACAGAAGGGAAGCTTTTGTTTTATTCTTAGCTTGGAAAGGAATTTTAGTTGCAAATGATTCCCAGGCTACGCACACACTTCCTTTTTTCTCTTCTTTTTTGTGGGTCAGTGGCGACAGTATGTTGGAGATCTTTTAACCATAGAAGTGTTGCTGTAACCATAGAAGTCATGCATGCTTCCTGCTTCAAGCCTCCATCACATATTTCCCTTTGCAAACCTTAATCACAGTAAAGCATTACATTGATTACCATCAAGGGAAGATTCCCAGCTGGGTATAATTGCTGTTTACAACTCAGCACTTTGTTCTGGCATCGTCGATCTCATTTCCTTCCTCTCCCCTTTCCCTCCATACTTCTTCCCTTGTGTGTTGCGTCACCGAAGCTAGCCATGGTTAATGCTAATTGGACTGTTTTAAAGCAGGACTTGAGGCTGGTTAGCAAACCCTGGTTAAGAGGGAAGCTGGTTAGTAGGAACCACAGCAACTTATGATTGTGCTTTCTTCTATTAGCCTAATTAAGCTAAGTGGCCTGGTTAACACATCAGTGGTAAGCCATGGTTTATGTAGCTTAACTGATTGGTTTGTATAGCCAACTAATTATGGTTTGTTTATGGTCTATGAACCAGAAGATGAAAACATTGTTTTAATTTGGCAAATGATTCTTTGCTTGAGTAAACAATGGTTTCTTGTTACCTATGACACCATTATCCTCATTTGTTTTGGCGCCGTATCCCCACATGCTTACCAGGCTACAGAGAAGAGAGGGAAGAAGAGTTAGAAAATGAAACCAACACTGAGCAAATAAATAAATAAATAGATAAATAAATAGTGCTGTGGCTACTCATCTGTGAGACTGATTTCTGGCGTATTATTGTTTGTGAATTCAGCCACCATGTGCGCCCCATTTCTCAGCCTGGCCCTGATAGCCATTGTTAAGAGAATTCCAATGTTATATCTGTATTGTCACTATGAAACTGAGAAGAGGTTTCCCAGGACTTGGGCAATACTTTGCCTTCCAGTATTTGCCAGGTGCAAATAAAGTGTTCGTTCTATTTTATGAAAAGTAGCAGTGTATGTTAATAAAACAGTTAAACAAGCCACAGTAAGGAACCCATTGGGTGGGATGTCTCACTAAAGGATTCCTCGCCTCTTGAAAAATGCATGACTTTTGCTTTATTATTATTATTATAATTTATATACTGCCCTTCATCTGAATATCCCAGGGCGGTGTACAACATTAAAAACATAATTTACGTAACATAATAAAAATTCAATAAAACAATCACAGAAAATAATAATAGCAATAATACAGTCCTCCATATTTAAAGGGCATTGATTGTTTAATGGCCAAAGGCCTGGGGGAAGAGGAATGTGTTCCCCTAGTGCCTAAAGACATGTAATGATGTCGCCAGGTGAGCCTCTCTGGAGAGACCATTCCACAGACGGGGAGCCACTACAGAAAAGGCCTGTTCTCATGTTGTCACCCTCTGGACCTCTCATTGGGGAGACACACGAAGAGGGGCCTCAGATGACAAGCGCAGGATTTGGGCCAGTCCGTATGGGGAGAGGCTTCCTTAAGGTATTGAGGCCCTGAGCCATGTAGGGTATAGCAGATCCCACTGCTAACACCAAAATGTTGCAGATCCCCTTGCTCTGGTTACAAAATGTGGCAGATCCCACCTACGTATACATTATATAACCACCCTGGGTTATCTTTGGGTTTTTATGTGGAGGTAAACTTTTTTAATTGATATTTTATTGAAAAAAATTAAATTATAAAGCAATAAAGTGATACAAAAATATTAAAAAAAACTGTGTAAAGAAAACAAAACTGTGTAAGGGGGAAAAACATATGAATATTAACAAAAATACCCTTACCCATACATTCTTTTATAAATTTGATATTATTATACTAATACTAATGTAAATATTAATGGCCTACTACATTTTGTATAAATTCATTCCAAAATTGTCATATTTATCCAAGCAGTTGCAAGTGTTATCATATTATCAATCCACTGATTAAAGGAGATAATGTCTTTATTCTTCCGGTTCATCAATATCGTTCTCTTGGCTACCATTAGAGTGCATAAAATCCATTTTTGTTGTCTTGTTGTTAACTTCCATATAGTAGAAGAAGCAGCTTATACTCCTCTCTTGTCCCTCACTGGAAACTTCCTAAATCAGTGGTGTCAAGTGTGAGATGTGGTTTTAATAAAAGTCCCATCCCACAAAGTTTGCTGAGCACTGAGTATGCATATTCTGTAACAGCAACTCCAAATTCATGTGTAGGGAGGAAGCTGGCCAGCTCCCACTGCTAACTCTAATTACATTCTTAAATGAAATGGCTTGCAAGAGGAAATTCACTTGGTAGAGTTCCCACAATTTCATCACATGCAGGCAGACCTAATGCTGTTGAGGTGAAGTCCCATTACCCAGATGTATTAGAACATACAAATGTTATTTAATATTTCACTTGGGAGGCAAAGATGTCCACTAAGAGTTTTTTGTGTATCCCCTTTTTTAAGGATTTCTGTGTTATAAATGACTTTTGACTTATGATCAGCTCTTGCTCATTTGATTTTGTGTGCATAAAACAGTAAGAGTTTTTATAGTGTGCGGAAAGTTTGATGCAACCCTTAAGCAAAGTTTCTAATTAAAACTAACGCTTATTGACATGAAACAGTTTTCCTGCTGTTAAGTCTTGTTCCCTAACTCAAATAATGAAGGAAATTTCCTATATGCTTTTAATGATTAGCCAGACCTTTGTGTGTGTGAGCATAAAGTTAAGGGGAGCAGGGAAGAGAGAGCGTTCCCTATGTGCAGATAATTGTTATAGTGTCTATTAATAGTTATGCCAGGAAAAAGTGGCTGAATAAAGCACAAACTGTTCATTTGCACAGCCAGGATGTTTTTTACACACATGTGCACAAAGATGGCAGTGCAGTATAATAGCAGGAAACGATAAAATGCTTCTTCCTTGCCTATTCCCCGCTCCCCATCTGTCCACATTGATTTCACTTTTTTATGCATGCAGGGCTTTTTACTATCAAAGGGGAGGTTTTTGCTGCATAGGATGTTCTCATACTCTTTATTTATTTACTTCATATAATTTATACACTGCTTGATTGTAAAAACAAACTTCAAAGCAGTGTACAAGAGGAGTAAAAAATAAAATTGTCAGTTAAAACAGTTCAAAACAAGGATTTTTTTTATAAAAAAAGTTAAAATGGGCGATACACTTAAAAAAAGATTAAGATACCAGTCAACATTCTGCATGTCTGTGTAGGCTTGTCTAGCAAAAAATGTTTTTAACGGGGTCTAAAAAGAGTACAACAAAGGTGTTTGCCTGATGTCAACAAGCAGCAAGTTCAAAAGTATAGGTGCTGCCACACTAAAAAGATCAATTTCTTATGAATGCAGAATGGGGATTATGTGGCATCTGTAACAGTGCCAGTTGTGCAGATCGAAGCGGTCAAGTGGGCATATGTTACCTGAGGCAATATCTCAGGTAAACCCCCAGACTATAGATAGTAGTAATTATCTGTCTGTCTGTCTGTCTCTATCTATCTATCTATCTATCTATGGATGACTTTCCTGTTACACAATCCTGATGGAGCCCCATTCAAATAAAATAACTCCAATAGAGTGTCATTGTCCTGGGACCCACCAGGCGACTAAGCTTCATCCAGGTCAGCTTGATTCCCTCTGTGCCAGGAGCAGATTGAGCCAATTCTAGCCAGTGGGTGTTGCAAATACACTAGAGTTGGTTGTCTTGATTTAGGGACTGCTAAACATTTTCTTTCAATGAGTGGCTTGATACTGGGGCACCCTTCGCTTTTGATTGGCTCCTGCAGAACACGGCCCATCAGTTCAGCTGGAGCTGTCAGAGTTGGCTGTCAGAGTATTCACTATTTTGCACCTCAGAAATACCAGTGGCTATAACCCCGATTTTGGCTGAAAACATGTGTGATGCAGGAGATCTGTATGTTCTTCTTGTGTGCCCTATGCCTAAGAGACATCTTGTTCTTTTGCTCTGTAAGGCCCTACCTGCCCTATACATTTGTAGCTGTATCATACTGCTTTGGATAGCCATGACTTCCTGCAAAAATCCTGGGAACTCTAGTTAGTTAACGGTGCTGAGAGTTGTTAAAACATCCCCTTTTCTGCTCAGAGAGCCACAATTCCCAGAGTGTCCTGCCTCACAGGGAATTCTGGGATTTTTAGCTGGCAACGGCTGTCACGTGGAAGATGGGGCAGGCTTGTTTTATGCTGCTCCAGTGGGTAGTAACTAAACCACTGGATTCAAATAATAAGAGAGGAGATTCCAGCTAAATATTAGGAAGAACTTTCAGAGGGTAAGAGCTGTTTGATGGTGGAAGGTGTCATTGGAGGTTGGTTGGCTAGCAGAGATCTGTATTTCAGGGGCTTGGACTACATGACCACGGGGAGCCTTCCCACTCGACAATTCTGTGATTGTAGTTAGGTGCTGTATAAATGGTTAAAATCAGATGTTTTCAACCTTTTTGAGTCCACAGCTCCCTTAACCAACTACATTCTTTCTGTGGCCCCCCTGTGGGGCTCAGGAGCCCACTTATGTCCCCGCTTGCCTGCAGAGGTGGCAACCCCTCACCCTTTTTCGAACACCCTCCATTGTGGAATGTTCCCTCTGCCTCCGCTCCTCTCCCCTCACCTTAGGAGTCCTATGAGCTGCCCTCCCCCTGCCTTAAAGAGAGGTGCCTCCTCACGCCGCCCCACAGGGGCCGGGGAAGCACCAATTGGCCAGCTCCAGAGGCACCATTCACCAGGGCTGATGCAACAGAGAGGCAGAGATGCAAGAGGGCATCCAAGGAGGGAACGAAAGAGGGACAGAGGCTAGTGATTCCCACAGCATCCCAGGGTACCATGGCACACTGGTTGAAAACCACTGGTTTAAATAATAAAAATTAAAAGAACATAAATGTTTTGAGGAAAAGTTGGTCTTTCCTTTCAAATGTAGCCATGTTTACCAGTTTGGTGAACTTCCCATTATTTTCTAAACATTCTTGGTAGAATCATATTCTTGGATTTTGCTTGTCCCCTTTATGAATGGCTACTGCCTTATGAAAGATTTCTTTCAACTCTGCTATTTTTGTTTGGTATTTGGGAGTTTTTAGAGGGGAGGGGCTGAAATAAATCTGATAGTGCAGAGTCTTTTGCAGTTCCCTGTCGGATACATTAATGGTGCTTATCTCCCCCAACCAGTTTATTTTTTTTATAAAAGAAGAAGGCACATAATGTTTTCAGTGTGGCTTGGTGCATAAAACCTCACTGATAAGCAAACAGTGGTTAGCCTTGTTGTCTAGCTTTGGCTTATTGTCTGTTTGTTTTTATTTTGAGCTGATTAATTGGCTCGGGGGAGAAGGAGGGCGGTGGGAAAGGGGAACAGTAGAGACAATGGCAGCAATCAAGAAACAAGCCAGGGTTGGGAGGAAGAATGCGGGAGATTGTAATTGGAGGTTTGCTTTGGGAGTTGGGGTTGAAAGTTACATGTGTCTGTGTGGGGGGAAGGAATGAAAATGGTTAAGGGAATCCGCATTCTGCTGTGAGATGGCGAGAAGTCATTGGACACATTTGTGTCTGGAGCTGACCATACATGAATGAAATAACACCTTGGATAGTCATGTATATCTGAGATCTGCAGGTATAGGACAGTATACAAATTTAATAAATAATTTAATAAATGTATTGAATTAACAATTCAACAACAACAAAAAGCTGCTTTATACATGGGCTCAATACAGTCCACACTGGCTGGTAGCAGTTCTCTAGCCATCCCAACTTGGGAGATGCTGAGGATCTTTTGCTTGTGAAGCATGTATAGTAAGCCTCCACTGTGTGAAGTCTTAAAGTAACTCAAGATTGCGTTCTGAGGCGACATGGGCATGGGCCGGACTCAGTGGAGACCCAGTTGTCTCCTGAGTAGGGCTGGACGATATCTGGTTTTTGGCATTGTGATGTATCACCAGCCAAATATCACAATACTATACTGATATGATCACTGCAGATGGTGACAGCAGTCACGAAATTAAAAGACGCCTGCTCCTTGGGAGAAAGGCGATGGCAAACCTAGACAGCATCTTAAAAAGCAGAGACATCACCTTGCCAACAAAGGTCCATATAGTTAAAGCCATGGTTTTCCCAGTAGTGATGTATGAAAGTGAGAGCTGGACCATAAAGAAGGCTGATCGCCGAAGAATGGATGCTTTTGAATTATGGTGCTGGAGGAGACTCTTGAGAGTCCCATGGACTGCAAGAAGACCAAACCGATCCATTCTTAAGGAAATCAGCCCTGAAGGCTCACTGGAAGGACAGATCGTGAAGCTGAGGCTCCAATACTTTGGCCACCTCATGAGAAGAGAAGACTCCCTGGAAAAGACCCTGATGTTGGGAAAGATGGAGGGCACAAGGAGAAGGGGACGACAGAGGACGAGATGGTTGGACAGTGTTCTCGAAGCTACTAACATGAGTCTGACCAAACTGCGGGAGGCAGTGGAAGACAGGAGTGCCTGGTGTGCTCTGGTCCATGGGGTCATGAAGAGTCGGACACGACTAAACGACTAAACAACAACAACAACAATACTGATATATCACAATGTCTGAAATAAGGATGGAGCTATGTAGAGGCATTGGCTGGCTTCATGGTTTTCCCCACATTGTGATTTTTGCATAGCACATGCACACGCACACCATGATTTGCAATATATTGTCAGGTCAAAAGTTAGGAAACCCTTATCACAATATGGATTTCAAACCGTTTTGGACGATATATTGATATATTGCCCAGCCCTATTCCTGAGTTCAGGATACAAGGTAGGAGAAGGGGGGGGGGGCTGCAAAGAGCAGAGGCATGACCACCATGGATCAGGGCCATCCACAACAGTTGGTTCTGGAACCTACTGACAATATTTGCTGGATCCATTTAGACAGGGCTTTTTTCAGCTGGAACTCGCAGGAACTCACCTCTCAGGTGGGTGCCATTGGCATTCTGAGAGAACGAGGGAGGCGTTCATAGTGAGTTCTGGCACCTCTTTTTCTAGAAAAATAGCCCTGCATTTAGAGGTTCTGAATGCCAATTTGCTATCATTTGGGTGCTTTTGTACATGTGAAATACATGGTGGGCCTTGGTGCCTGCTGTTTCCAGTACTGTAGTGTTTGATTTGCATAATACCCTGAGCTTTTTTGCAAATAGTGTATTATTTATCACGAACAGCTGTCAGCTTACAGAAGAGACTTAATAAGTGGTGCCAGTCTTGGCTTAATGCAGCCTTGAACTGTCAAAGTGCTGAAAGGGAATTGCAGAAAATGGGGTGACAGTGTTGCTTTCATGTGCCATGTTCCTAATCCTGAAGCAGACTTCCTTTTCCATTTGTACCAAAACCACTTCTGCTTTCTTATGTAGCCTGCTGTGATGCATTGGTGGGCATTTGGAGCGAGTGAACCCTAGCTGCTTTCACAAGTGCTTGTGGAGAATGTGTCTTTTGTTTTTGCTTTTAGTTTTGGACTTGAAATTTGGGAAGGAACCATTTTGATTGCAGTGAGTTTCCAGGAACGTGATGCTTGCAATTTGGCCCAATTCATTTCAAATTTTGTGGCTATCTTCAGGGGTAACTGTTCGAATATATTCAAAGCATAACAGAGGAATCCTTTGGCGTTTCAGAAGTTGTTGGACTACAATTCCCATCATCCCTCAGCATTGGTCTTGCTGACTGGTCCAGATGCGAGCTGAAGTCCAACAACATCTGGGGGGGGGGGTCCCACCTCTGATTCAAAGTATGACTAGAGCCCCTTTCAGATCCTTCTCCAAACAGTGTGGTGGGGGGAGCGGGACTGCACCTACTGCTTGTCAAATTGTCATGAACACTGTCTGTTCCACTGATCTCAACTTTTGCATGTCAAAACAGAGGTCTGAAAAGCAGCCCCCCCTTTCTGATCTGTGGCACTGTACACAGAGTGTGACAATATTATGTTCAAGGCAGTGTTTTATGCATTGCATGGGGTGAAGGTCTGGAAGGCACTTAAAGCAGCCTCCTATACTTTCTCAAAGTAATGTTGCTGCAAGCCTTGAAATGTGTTGGAGAGGTCAGCAAAATAATTTGCAGTGCACCTTTTGGGGTTTCTTCTCTCTCCCCACCCCAACAGCATGTCAAATATACCAGAACATCCAATTAAAATGAAATGAAAAATAGATTTTTAAAAAATTAAACTCCACTTTATAGTGATGTGACTCCAGACACAAATGACAATATACAGTGGTACCTCAGGTTAAGAACTTAATTCGTTCTGGAGGTCCGTTCTTAACCTGAAACTGTTCTTAACCTGAGGTACCACTTTAGCTAATGGGGCCTCCCGCTGCCGCCACACGATTTCTGTTCTCATCCTGAGGTAAAGTTCTTAACCCGAGGTACTACTTCCAGGTTAGCAGAGTCTGTAACCTGAAGCGTCTGTAACCCGAGGTCCCACTGTATTTTTCAAGATTTTGGTTATATCACTGAAGGATTTTCAAACCTACATGTGTGAAGGGGATTTTCCTGTACTGTCCGCATCTCTCCCCTCTCTGCACACCTTGCAGTGTGCAGGGGAAGGTCTGGGTCATTTCCAAGGCAGTGTATAAGCAAGGGTTCACAAATGCCCTTTCCAGCTTGCCACTGGCGAGTGAATCTTTTGCTGTTAAGCATTTGTTTCTAGATTGTTGTTGATAAACTTATAAAATATTTTAAGCTGCTTTGAGCATTAGTAATGAAAGAATTAAAAAACAAACCCATGAGCATGCATTCGTTTTTGCCAATGTTTGTCGTTTTTATTTTATTTCTTCAGTTGATCACGTTGTTCCTGAACCAGGCACCAGTTTGCTCTCTGCATTTGACCAATGGCGAGAGTGGGCAGACAGCAAGTCCTGCTGCGATTACTCTTTGCATGTGGACATCACGGAGTGGCATAAAGGAGTTCAGGAGGAGATGGAAGCCTTGGTTAAGGATCATGGTAAGCCTGAGGAGTCTTTATTTAGTGCTTGCTCAGTTCTTTAGTTTCTGAGGCAAACACAAAGGCACAAAAACATCTGCATCCTAGCTGCAACTTTGACTTCTGCTTTCCACTTAGAAGTCATAGCTGGTCTTGCTGTACATAGAGAGGATTTATTTAAATAATGTACCTGTCATTTCCCCATGCTCAGTGTGGTTTATGTAAATATCCCAAGCATAAGGCGCATCAATGAGAGCAATAGCAACAGCCTTTCAACATACTACACAATTAATTTTGAAAAAAACTCCAATTGAGTCAGCAGCCAGGGCAGACCTGTGTCACTCCCTGGTCAACAGTGACTGGAGGTGGCTCTCCAGGGTGGAAGGCAGGAGCTTTTGCCAGCCTTGCCTGGAGGCACCAGGGATTGACCCTTGGTGCTTGTACATGCAGAGCATGCGCTCTACCACTGCTGTGGCCCTTCCATTTTGAATGGGCTTTCCATTCTGTCCAGAGAGGGAATAGTAGCTCCTGGCCTCGCCACAAAGTCACCATTCTCATACCCTATGTTATGACTGCTCTCGTGGTGCGCGTGGGATCGTGTTCCTGCAATCATAAGTAATGAGAACGTGCAAATAGGCAAATCTGATCTGCATTTGTTTGTTTGTTTAAGAACTTTCCCCGTGGCTCTTCAAGCAATAGGGTTTCCACAGTGGCTTACAGATAAATTAAAAAGGAAAAGGAAAGAAAAGGCAGCCCCTCCAAATGGATTTTCCATCTAAAAACACAACAAAGAATAAAGGAAGGAGGGAGGAGCAAAAAAAGCAAACTTTTAGCGCCAGGTCTTAAAGCCAGGGTTACATAACTGGCTTGTCATGTGATGTTTGGGTTTGAGAAGTTTTTGCCCTTTCTTTATTGGACTGTATGGTACATTGGGGCTTCACACAGGTATGACCCAGTGTGGTTGTCCATATGTTTACAACTAAATGGAATTCTGATGGATTTTAAATTTCCTTCCCTCTCTTGCTTCTGATAGGTGTGAATTCTTTCTTGGTGTATATGGCTTTCAAGGATCACTTCCAACTCACAGATTCTCAGGTATGGTACCTTCTTGGTTTGCATTATAGCTGATCCAAAATATTTGGCTCAGATTTTTTGGGCATTCCTTGGGTGCAGGGGAAAAATACCCTTACAGTTTTTCAAGGAAATAAGGATTTGAGGTAGGGTGGGGGGTAAGACCTTTTGGTGGGAGGTTCTTACCTTAATACAAGGTGGCTGAGTGTGTCCCCTCTCCTGTTTTCAAAAACCGGGAGTGAGGAACTTGTGACTCTCCAGATGTTGGGAGTTCCAACTCCCATTGGCCCCAGCTAGCACGCCAGTGGATGACAGTGACTATGGGAGCTGTAAACTGGAAACATACATACATTTAAATCTCTTCTAGATTTTCAAACTCTGTACACCCACAGGGGTGGGCTCTTGGCTTCAGGCCCTGCCTGTAGGTTTCCCAGGGGCATATTATTTGGTCACTATGTGAAGCTCATTATGCTCTTGGTTTACTTTGTGGAGAGCAGCTGGCCCAGCCCAGCCAATATGGTTGGAGGCCAAGGTTCAAATCCTTGCTCATCTGTCGCTCTTTCTGGGCAGCCTTGGGGTAGCTTAACCCACCCTGAAGTGTTGTCAGATGAGAATAAACTGACATAATCCTCATCTATGCTGGAGGGAGATGTAGATAGATAGCTGCTCAGTTATTATGGCTGTATGGAATCTTTTTGTGTTAACTTCTCAGAATTCCATAGATGGGTTGAGGTAGCTGGAAAATTCATTCCCTGAGTCCTGGAATGGGAGGGTGAGCATTAGAGATGTTGGAAACGTAATTTAGGAAAGCCAGCACCCTTTCTCTCTTGTCTCCCTAGATATACGAGGTCCTGAGTGTGATCCGTGACATTGGGGCCATAGCCCAAGTTCATGCTGAAAATGGAGACATCATTGCTGAGGTAAGCAGAGTTTCCCGATCACGAGAAGTAATGAACTCTCTTCAGGCGTTCTGAAAGGGAGTTTGCTCAGCAATAGTGCTGGCTTTTTCCCATTGGGACTGGGGCCAGAGCCAACGACGAGTGGAGCCAACTTAATTCTAGTTTTGTCCCCATCCTCCTCCCCACTGAATTCTACAAGGGCAAGACTGAGACTAAGAAGGAGGAAGATGGCAGAGACTGGTACCCCCTAGACTGGTTGTTAGTAAGATGGGGATGGGGCTGTATCCCATTTTCTCAAATGGACCAGGTTCCTCTGTCAATGGGCAAGATGGCAGGTCGGGGGAGAGACCATGGAGTATTAGCTTCAGCACTTTGGAAGAAGTCCTTGACACATGTTAGTAAAGGCATTTAATCTTTTCTCCTTTCCATTTTGCTTTAGGAACAGCAGAGGATCCTGGAACTAGGCATCACCGGCCCCGAGGGGCACGTTTTGAGCAGGCCTGAAGAGGTGATGGATAGTTTTGGCTTATTCCTTTGCCACAATTGCCTTTCATGACGCCAGTGGCAATAACACAGAATACTGCATCTCACATTGAGGAGTTTGCATTCTACACATGGTAGCCACATGTACGGCAGAGGTGGTCAGATGGCACAGAGGCCCCAATGGGGTAGGGGTTAGTTCACAGAACCATAGAGTTGGAAGGGACCCTGAGGATCATCTAGTCCAACTCCCACAATACAGGAATATGCAGCTGCCCTTTATGGGGATCGAACCTGCAACCATGGCGTTATCAGCACCACTCTCTAACCAACTGAGCTATCCATCTCTTCAATTGAAAGGCAGTTGTAGACCTTGTTAGCCTGGATGAAGGGACAGAGAGAGGTGTGTGTGTGTGTGTTTAGAAACTAGTCCACTGTACAGAGGAAACATATTATGTTTGTAGCTCCGCCTGCTTTTGCCTGTGGCTCTGCCCACTCCTGGCACGTGGCACCCAGAAGGGAATGCCGCCTTCAGGCAAAACACGGTTCCCCAAGCCTGTTGTAGGAGGTGGTTAGCTAGGCATCTGGGTCAGCGAGCCTGCCAAAAGGTATATTGGTGTCACAAAAGCAAGTTGCTGGCGAAGGAAAACCAAGCATCAAGATCTCATCAGGAAACGGAGGATCTGATGTGTGTGTGTGGGGGGGGGTGCGGAGGGGCACCAGGCAGAATTTTGGCTCAGATTTCCTGTCTGTGCTACTTGGACCCATTGTGAGTGGGGGAGGTGAAGAAACCTCTAAAGGAGAAGGCAGCAACAATGGCAGGGATGGGAAGAAGGGAAGCCACGTTTCTGCAAGGGTAGGGAGCTGAAAGCTGCAGGAGCGTTGCTGATTTCTTCCGAGGAGCAGAGGAACACGAGATGGGAAGGTTGGGGAGGCAGCATGCAGTGGTGAGGCAAGGGAAGATCAGGTCCACTCCCCCCCCCCCCGAATGATCGCAGGATTCCCCTATCTCCTACATGCTTTCCAAATCTGCTTCATGGGACAGGTGGAGTTTTATATCTGCATCGCAGGAACTTGGACTGTGCTGAACAGAATGGTCCAGGCACAGGGAATGTTCTTCAGCTTAAAAGCCACATTCCTATCTGGGCAATCTTCTTTTTTGGGGTGGGGAGGGGGACACATGCTAATGCTGGGTGGGACCAGGGATCAAAATGTGTGCAAAATGAAAGCAAATCTTACCTTTGTACAGTAGGCTAGTTTCTACTCACCCCCTCTCACCCCCCTGCCATCCTCCATCCAGGCAAGCAGGAGGCGTGATCAAGGCTCATGGACCCATTCCATGCAGGTGAAAAGCATCCAAGGCGAGGACATGAAGTAGGACTGTTGAGGGGTGTTTCCTGGGGACAGGCCTGGAGGCTCCTTGGGTTCTTCACCCCTGGTAAAATGCTCAATGCATTTGCAAAGCTTTGTCCACATCAGATGCTATCTGTCTGTCTACCTATCTAATTTCTAAACTGCACTTTCATATGAAATATCTTAGAGCAGTATACAACTTGAAAAACACAGTAAAAACAATAATAATTGGCACCCGCCGGTCTTGAGGGACGATGGAGTGCGCCTCTGGGAATGAAGTCCAACCACTGGAGAATCACTGTGCCTGCTGTGGCTGCAGAGACTGGCAACTTGTATTGCTGCCTGAAGTGGTCTCTCTGGGATGCAAGCCTGGGCAGAGTTAGAACTTCTCCCTGCAAACAAACAAGCAAGCAAACAAACAAACAAATATACATGCATGCATGCATGCATGCATAAAAGGTAAAGGGACCCCTGACCATTAGGTCCAGTTGTGGCCGACTCTGGGGTTGTGGCACTCATCTCGCTTTATTGGCCAAGGGAGCCGGCATACAGCTTCCGGGTCGTGTGGCCAGCATGACTTAGCTGCTTCTGGCGAACCAGAGCAACGCACGGAAACGCTGTTTACCTTCCTGCCGGAGCGGTACCTATTTATTTACTTGCACTCTGACGTGCTTTTGAACTGCTAGGTTGGCAGGAGCAGGGACCGAGCAATGGGAGCTCACCCCGTCGCAGGGATTTGAAGCGCCGACCTTCTGATCGGCAAGTCCTAGGCTCTGTGTTTTAACCCACAGTGCCACCCGCGTCCCCCGCATGCATATGGGTAAAAGCTGGTTGGCAAAAGAACTCAGGTTTGAAATTCCCCTCTGAATGAGACAGTTTTCAGAAGAAGTTTGAAAACGAGCAGGGCTGATTCCTGCCAAACCTCTGTTGGCAAAGAGGTCCACACCAAAGTCTCAGCATCTGGTAAAGAGCCCATCCAAACTTCAGGGGCACGTGGGACCACTGAAAGTGCCCCATCAGAAGACTTCACTGGTTGAGGTGGAGCATAAGGAATTGGACAGTCCTAAAGGTACTTTGGGCCCAGGCTGAATTAACGCCATGGCCAGTGGTCAAGGTTGATGGGAGTTGTCGTTTAGCAACCACCTGTGGACTGCAGTTTCCCCATTCCAGCTTCTTAGCTTTGCCTGGAAAGGGGGGGAGGAAAAGGACAGCAGAATAGTCAGCAAGGAACACAGAAGTCCAAAGTGGGTTAAGATGTTTGGCAGTGATCCGTGTGACTGTATTCATCCAGGCGGAAAGCACAACTTGCATTGCCCAGGGATTTGAAAGGTGACATTTTGCAGCCGTGGCCTCCCCACCCACACGGAAAAGGCCACAGTGAGGTTTTAATGTGGCTTTTAGTAATGGTTTGTTTGCCTCCGGCAGTGAGTCAGAAATACTTGCAGCTGCCTAAGAGGCTTTCTAAAATTTTGGAGGGGCGGAGGTAAAGGCAAACGAAGGGGGGCTTTGTAAAATTATGCATGGTTAGGAGAAAGTGGATAGAGCAGAGGCCCCCCCCCCCCCCCGCCCGCGCGCGCTGCATAATATTAGACCAAGATCACCCGGCAAAGCTGAATAGTAGGAGATTCGGACAAGCAGAAGGAAGTCATTATTCACAGCACATCATTAAACTATGGAATTTGCTTCTAGAAGATGTGGCAATAGCCATCGACCAGAGGCGTAGCGTGGGGGAGGCCAGGGAGAACCTGGGAGACTCCCAACTCTCATCAGCCATAGCCAGCAGGGATTATGGGAGTTGTAGCCCAACATGCATTGAGACAACAGTCTTAACAACTACAATTCCCAGGGTTCTTTGGAAACACCACAACATTTAATCCAATTGGTTTGTAGTCTCCATATGCCACTTGTTTTGTGCCATTAATTTCTTCTTTTTAGGGTTTCATTTTCCAAAGGGAAATAATAATGGAAGCCTTGGCTGGGGGTGCAGTGGCAGGGGGTGGCTTATTACTAAGAAAGATCTGTGTGTCTCCCCCTCCCTTTCGTAGGTGGAGGCTGAAGCTGTGAACCGGGCTATAACCATTGCTAACCAAACCAACTGCCCCTTATATGTCAGCAAGGTGATGAGTAAAAGTGCAGCTGAAGTTATTGCCCAGGCCAGGAAAAAGGGTAAGTGCTGGATGGAAAATTCCTGTTGATTCTTCCACTCTTTTGTTTTCTTGGCAGTGCTGTATGGATACATTTGCATTCTCTGTCCAATCTGGATTTTAACTTCCTGAGCATTTAGTTTTTTTCTGATGAGCTTGTTCTACAGGCCAAATAGCTTGTTTGGGACTGGGGCTTTCTAATCCAACTTTCCTCCTTTTGTTTTGTTCCACCACTTGCACAGTTGCCTTGGTAACGCAAGTTTTGCAAGTATGAAAAGCATGATCTCTTTAACCATGTCATAGACCTTTGCCCATCAACTCTTTTGACAAGAGCCAGTGTGGATTAGTGGTTCGAGTGTGGGAGTAGGACCTGGGAGACCAGGGTTCAAATCCCCACACAACTATGAAGCTGTCTGTTTGGCTTAGAGCAAGTCACTCTCTCTCAGCCTACAGACTCTGCTAACCCAGAAATAGTACAGTGGTGCCCCGCAAGACGAATGCCTCGCAAGACGAAAAACTCGCTAGACGAAAGAGTTTTCCGTTTTTTGAGTTGTTCCTCAAGACGAATTTCCCTATGGGCTTGCTTCGTAAGACGAAACGTCTTGCGAGTTCTTGCGAGTTTGTTTCCTTTTTCTTAAAGCCGCTAAGCCGTTAATAGCCGCTAAGCTGCGAATAGCCGCTAAGCCGCTAATAGCCGCTAAGCCGCTAATAGCCGCTAAGCCGCTAATAGCCGCTAAGCCGCTAATAGCCGTGCTTCGCAAGACGAAAAAACCGCAAGACGAAGAGACTCGCGGAACGGATTAATTTCGTCTTGCGAGGCACCACTGTACCTCGGGTTAAGAACTTTCCTTCAGGATGAGAACAGAAATCGTGCTCCAGCGGCAGCAGGAGGCCCCATTAGCTAAAGTGGTGCTTCAGGTTAAGAACAGTTTCAGGTTAAGAACGGACCTCCAGAACGAATTAAGTACTTAACCCAAGGTACCACTGTAATTGCCTGATGTTTTTAGGCATACACTTTAAACAAGCGCAATGTGCAAAGCAGCCTTGAGGCTGGCCTTGGCTTCTGCTAGTTGTCCCGTTCATTGGGATTGTGTGGGCCAACGGAGGCATCTTGTTAGACATCAACAGAGCATTCTTTTTACTTCAAATTCTTTCTCTGCATTCTAGCCTTCAGGAAATTGCTGTTCAAATGGCGCCAATAGCTCCCATTTCCCCTCTCCCCCCTCTCTCCTATTGCTAAAGCCTTATTAGTTTCTATTTAAAGCATCTGAGATGTGGCTTGCTTTTTTAAAGATACTCACCTTTCTTTGTAAGCCTGAGAATGTTTATTCACATCTCAGCAGAACTCGAGCTCAAATGTAAGTCAGGTTACACTGCCAGAAGGACACCCCCTTACACCTCCCCCCCCAGACAACAGCTTTCTTCAAAAACCAGTTGCATGGCGCTTGCACTCTGTGCATGCTTAAATGCATTCTTTTGTTACTCCAAATGCTCCCAATTCTAAGCTGAATTCCACTATAAACAGGTTGGAAGACTAATCTCTGTTGCTGTGGGTTTTGTTTTGTTTTTTTTAATAAAAATGGGTGGGGGAGAGGGAAATGCCTGTTCCCTTTTGAAAGACCTGCTTTCATGCGGACTAGAAACCTGGGCAAACCTTCCTGAGTGTGAGCTACTAGCCCATCTCAATCCCTGCCTGGATATTCCTGCGCTTGCAAGTTCTATTTCAAGCAGCGACGCTCGTGTTTACTCGTCTCCAGATCGAGCGAGGATCCTGTTTTGCCCACCAGATTCCAGTTCAGAGTCCTCCTCCTCCTCCTTGTCGTCACCCATCCCTGGCTGCCAGGTCTTGCCAAAGGCTGCAGGGATTTTGTGCTCCCCACCCGCCTGCACCCCGGGGGGGGGGGGTCCTTCCCCACCACCCCCTAGTTACAGCCCTGACCGAAAGAAGAAACAAATGCCTTTACTAGCCAGTGGGAAATGGTTAGAAAGTGATGCTCAAATGAATAACTTAAACGAATAACTAAACTAATAGCTTGCCTTTTGCACCCACGGAGCTCAAATCAGCATGCAGCGTGTCCTCCCCGTTCCCTGTTTTCCCCTCACAACAACCCTGTGGAGTTGGTCCAGATAGATATGAGAGGACGAGGCCTTTTAGGTCTATTTAGAAACAGATTATTTTCAAACCACGTTAAACAGTGTTAACAAGAGCAATGACCTGTACAAAGGAAGGCAATGAAGAGAAGCAGAGAGAGGGAGAATGAAAGCTGTGAGGGAGATCAGAGCTGGGGGGACCTCGACTTTGACCTCCAGGTGTCGAAAGGTGCAGCTGTTGCTTTGAAGCAAGGAGCTTTTCTTTAGCTTAGATTCCCTGGGGTTACAGTTCTTGAAACACAGGAGAGTTGTTCGCAGAGGGTTTTTAACAGTTCCCAGGTTTCTTTGGAGAAAACCTTGATGGTATAATACTGTGTTAAGCGTAAGGTGCCTCACGGGCAGCAGATTCAGCATGGAGGAAAGAAAACCCGTTTTTCTCACAGCATGATTACCGTATTTTTCACTCTATAGGACGCACTTTTCCCCCTCCAAAAATGAAGGGGAAATGTGTGTGCATCCTATGGAGCGAATGCAGGCTTTCGCTGAAGTCTGGAGAGTGAGAGGGGTCGGTGCGCACCGACCCCTCTCGCTCTCCAGGCTTCAGGAAGCTATCCACAAGCCTTCTGAGTGCGGCGGGAGTTCCCGCCAGGCTCCGAAGATTTGCGGATAGCAGCCTGAAGCCCAGGGAACGCAGCGCCAAATCCTGCTGCGTTCCCCGGGCTTCAGGTAGCTATCCGCAAGCTCTGGGAGCGGCGGCGAGGTTGCGCGCAATCTTGCCGCCACTCTGGACCTGTTCTGGGGGCTTGGGCTTCCCCCGCTCCAGCCCCGCAGCTAAAAACGAAGCTAAGATAGCGAGCAGGATCCATCCCGCTGGCTGTCTTGGCTTCTGCCAAAGCCGCGTGTGGCCTCTCCTGGCTGGAGATAACTAATTTTTTCGCCCTTTATTTCCCCCCTAAAAACTAGGTGCGCCCTATGGTCTGGTGCGCCCTATGGAGCAAAAAAATATGGTACTTTATGAGAGGAGAGGAGCCTGTGGCCCTCCAGCCATTGGCCACAGCCAGCTTGGGCTATAGTCAGGGAAGATGGGAGTTGTAGTCCAGCAACACCTCTGGAAGGCCACAAGGGTCTCACTCTTGATCTGTGGGACTCACTGCCACAGGATATGGTGATGTGAAAAAAGCCTGAAAAGCTGCTACCAGCAGAGTAGACAATACCAGGCTAGATGGAGCAATGGTGTGGCTCAGTGTGACAGCATCGTATGTTCCCAAACTTTCAGACATCTCTTCCTTAGAACACCTGCAGAAAATATGCATAGTATCGTATGTTCTGCAATGGTTACGTCTATCCTGTTTCTGTCATCCTGCTCTGCAGGCACTGTGGTGTATGGTGAGCCCATAACAGCGAGTTTGGGCACTGATGGCTCACACTACTGGAGTAAAAACTGGGCCAAAGCAGCTGCTTTTGTCACCTCTCCACCACTGAGCCCTGACCCAACTACTCCAGACTTTCTCAATTCTCTGCTGTCTTGGTAAGTAGAAGGAAAGTTCCTGAGATGGGTGTATTTAAAAAGAGAAATTCTGTGCTGTCTGAATTCTGTGACCTGTATAAATTAGGACTGAACCAAAACTTTGTGTTCTACTAAAACTCTCACCACAACCTTTTGACAATAATTCAAGGAAAGTAGAAACATTTGCCGGTTCTTTGTGAAGGCAGAAAGCATTGCTCTCATTCTGGTTTGTCTTTACAACATTATTATATAGCCAGATTTGGTTGGCTAACTTGCCACTGTGATGCTCTCCCACAGGCTGCGTGATTCCTGACAGGCTTGTTCACACAAGAGGAACAATAATACTGTTTTAAAAAGAGAAGAAGGCACTGCCCAAGAGGAAGCAAAAAAGTGCAAAAATATACAAGATTTCGATTGTCATTCAGACAGTTTTTCAATCCCTCCTCACGTCCCTTTTTGTGCAGAAAAGGTTTACCCGCTAAAATCTTGCAGAGCCCTACAAATTATGCAAAAGTTCCTATATTTTTGCATTGTGTATTCATGGGAGCCAGCATGATGTTGATGATTGTTGTAGGGGGACTCCCTGGTCCTGAATGGGATAACTGTGCCCCTGAAGTACCAGGTGCGCAGCCTCGGAGTCATTCTGGACTCACAGCTGTCCATGGAGGTGCAGGTCAATTCTGTGTCCAGGGCAGCTGTCTACCAGCTCCATCTGGTACACAGGCTGAGATCTTACCTGCCAGCAGACTCTCTTGCCAGATTGGTGCATGCTCTGGTTATCTCCCGCTTGGACTACTGCACTGCGCTCTACGTGGGGCTACCTTTGAAGGTGACCCAGAAACTGCAATTAATCCAGAATGCGGCAGCTAGACTGGTGACTGGGAGTGGCCGCCGGGACCACACAACACTGGTCCTGAGAGATCTGCATTGGCTCCCATTATGTTTCCGAGCACAGTTCAAAGTGTTGGTGCTGACCTTTAAAGCCCTAAACAGCCCCGGTCCTGTATACCTGAAGGAGCGTCTCCACCCCCATCATTCTGCCCGGACACTGAGGTCCAACGCTGAGGGCCTTCTGGCGGTTCCCTCATTGCGAGAAGTGAGGTTACAGGGAACCAGACAGAGGGCCTTCTCGGTAGTGACGCCCACCCTGTGGAATGCCCTCCCTTCAGATGTGAAGGAAATAAGCAGCTATCTTCTCTTTAAAAGACGTCTGAAAACAGCCCTGTTTAGGGAAGTTTTTAATATTTAATGCTGTATTGTTTTTTACACTCAATTGGGAGCCGCCCAGAGTGGCTGGGGAAGAAATTAATAATAATAATAATAAGAAGAAGAAGAAGAAGAAGAAGAAGAAGTCCAACAGCATTCGGAATCTAAGGTTGGGGGAGGCTACTGTAGAATGTTTTCCCTTCCAGGATTTAATTAAACTTCTGTTCAAACAGGTTATACAATTATCATCAGCTCCACCCCATTAGGCAACCTGTGGCCATTTTTTCCCTCTTTTAACCGCCAGCGTTCACACAGGGATTGCTCACCTCTCGGTGGTTCCCCTCCCCCTTTCTCCTGGTTTTTGATGTCTTCTTTTTCTGGAGCATGAGCGTTGGTAGAGAAAGCATGATGTGAAGGCAGATAAGACCATTACAGTGTTAGCCTATGGGCAGGGCCTGCCTTTGATCTTCTTCCTTGCACAGTGTGGACTGGAAAGTACTTTAGAAGTAATGAGTAGCATAAAAACATGAGAACAGTGTGTCTTGGCTGAAAACAGCGATCCAGTTGCTGCTATGAAGGAAGCTGATAATGGTTAACAATTCCCCCCAGATATTTTTTTTCATTCTGTACCAACTGCCCCCAATTTCCCATTGTAAAATTTTCTTTGTTTTGAGGGGACGTTGAGGATGAGTCCAAGACTTGCTGTGGCTCCTGTTTGCCCCCCTACACTAACCACACTAAACAGACTTTTCCAAACTGGTGACTTCGAGAAGTTTTGGATTAGGTTCTTATAATACAGAATAAGTATACAGAATAAGGGAGGGCAAATTGAGGGAGGGGGTGATTTTGAATACAGTATGGGCATTCATCCCCCACCCCCGCTTTCTGGGCCTGTGAAAGGAGATTGGAAGGTAAGGATGAGAGGCAGCCGGCATTGGTGAAGCTCAGCGTTTCCAAGGGAGTGAGAAAAGGAGAGGTAATAGTCAGGCCATAAGCCTGGCAAGTAAATAAATGTGTGTGTGTGTGTGTGTGTGTGTGTGTGTGCGCGCGCGCGCGCTTAAAGTAAAAGATCAGCTGTGAGGGGAGGTTAAAGATAAAAGTGTTTTAAGGATAATGTGGCCAGTGTGGTGTAGTGGTTAAGAGCGGTAGACTTGTAATCTGGGGAACCGGGTTCGCATCTCCGCTCCTCCACATGCAGCTGCTGGGTGACCTCGGGCCAGTCACACTTCTCTGAAGTCTCTCAGCCCCACTCACCTCACAGAGTGTTTGTTGTGGGGGAGGAAGGGAAAGGAGAATGTTGCCGCTTTGAGACTCCTTAGGTTAGTGATAATGTGGGATATCATATCCAAACTCTTCTTCTTCTTCTCTAGTAGCTGTTGGGCTGCAACTCACATCATCCCTGACTAGGTTGACTAGGCTGGTCGAAGATGATGGGAGCTGCAGTCCAACCACATCTGGAGATTCAAGGCTGAAGATCTAGGGGGCACCCCCAGCCTTCCTTGGAGATGCCAGGAACTGAACTAGCGAGCTTCTGCATGCAACACCCATGTTCTACCACTAAGACCTTCCACAGTGCTTACAGGGTCCGTGGTGATGATAGTGTTGATTCCACTGACTCCACATCCTTCCCTCCCCTCCCCTCCCCTCCCCTCCCCTCCCCTCCCCTCCCAACACAGCTGGGTGCAGCTGATGGGAGTTGGTATCTCAAACATCTGGAAGGCCTCAGGTTCAAGAAGCTTGGTTTAGTGTGATGTCTGAAGTGGGCTGTTGTGGTCGTCCTTTTCATGGCTGGCAATTGAGTCAACGTGAAAGCCAAATGAGAAGTGAGATTCGAATCTCCCCAGCTATGTCCTCCCCTAAACTTGATATCTGTTCCCCTAGAGATCAGTGTTGTCCTTCACCAGAACTATATGTCTGAGTGCAGACTCAAACAGAATTGGTGGTTTTTTCAAACCTTAGTAACTTTCAAAAAATAAAAACAGTAACATAAATAATCTCTGACTCTTCTCCCCAGAGAAAATATTCTCTCCTTCCCCCACTCCCCCAAACCTTCCCATGAGCATAATTGGCATTCTTGTGGGAGGGAAAAAGAATGAAAATAGCAGATTTAAGCATTTTCAAAGAGGACACAATGTTGCAGAAGGGCTGATGTAACTGCGCCATTTTTTCAATTAAAAACGTCTAATTCCCCCTACTTTTTTTAAAAAAAATGTTAAATATGTATTGTTCTAAAGCAGAATTGTAATAAATAAAACAAATGTTTAAAAAACGGTCTCATTTGAGCAAGTTAGCAAGGTTGTGCCAAAAAACTCTCTTCCTTGGTTATTTAGGTGAATGCTAGCAAGCCATGAGTAAATAGAAAGGTTTCTTGGATATTAAGAGATGGGAAGGACACTAGAGGTCTTCTAGTCCAAATCACCTGATCGCTGCCAGAACTACAACACACAGCGCAACTGCAGCAGGGGTAGGCAGCATGGTACCCTCCAGAAGTTGTTGGTCTTCAGCTTCCATCTCCCCCGGTCATACTGGCTGGAGCTGATGGAAATTAGAGTCCAACATCCTCTGGAGGTTCTCAGATTGTCTACTTCTGAACTACTCCATCCCTTAATGGCCATCCAGCCTCTCCCCAGCAGAGGAGAGACCATCACCTTCCAAGGCAGACCATTAGGAAGATACGTCTTTTGTCTAGATGAAATGGGTTCCATTGTTTTCCATTCAGCCCTGACCCCTGAAGTCTGTTTTGATCTTTGCAATGGCAGCTTCTTGCTCTTGATGTAACTCCTGTTGATGACACACCTCTTGTCTTTGGTTTTAGTGGAGATCTCCAAGTCACTGGCAGTGGCCACTGTACCTTCAACACTGCCCAGAAAGCTGTTGGGAAGGACAACTTTACTCTGATCCCTGAAGGAACCAATGGAACTGAGGAAAGGATGTCCATCATCTGGGATAAAGCTGTGGTGTGTTGCTTTGATGGGGCAGGAGAGGTCTTGGTTCACCCAGGCAATCTCTTGCTGATGTTACTTGAGATCCTAGGCCAGTTCTGGGGCCTTTTGAGCATTGTTGTAATGGACAGAGCACAATGAATCCACAATGTTGGAAGACTCTCATATCAGTCTTCGAGTTTTGGTATTGAAACATTGGGCGAGGGGTGGGGGGTTCCCTTCCTTGCATGGACAGAATCACCTGAGCTCAAGCTGCATCTTAGCCTATCCATGGGATCATAGAAAGCTGCCTTGTTGTACCAAGTCAGACTCTGGGTCAATGTAGCTCAGTATTGTCTAAACTCTCCAGGGTTTGTAACAGGATGCTCCCACCTCCAACCTGGAGATACAGGGGATTGAACCTGTGACTTCCTGCATTCAAAGCATGTGGTCGACCACTGAGCCACACCATTCCTTCTTGTCCCTTCCCTCTCCTATGATTATTTTGAATACTTCTGGTAGGGAACTATTTTAGCAGTGGACACTGGTTTGCTGCTGGTTAGCTGCTCATTTGAGCTGGCCTAGACTGTTTGCACTTTACTTTTAGAAGTGTTGGGGGAAGGAATAAATATTTTGACCATTTAGCAAAAGTGCTAAATATATTAAAAACGCTCAAGTTAAATATTTTGTCATGAGTGTGGTTCTAAGTTGGTGGAGTATACCCCAAACATGATAAACAGGTAACCTAATATATTCAAAGTATCACAGCTGACTCCAGTGGTCTCAAGTACAGGAACCAGAAGGCAAATTTATGTCCCAGTATGGATGTCAAAAGAAACCATGCTTTTCTGCTACATGAACAACCAGGTACACTTGCTTCTTCCCATTTCTCCTCTTTTGCACAGCAAAGGAGATCAGAAGCTTTTGTTTCTAATTTTGTTTCTAATCATAGTTCTTCATTATGCCCAAACTCGGGTAACCAAGTTTTGATTAAACTATGGTTAGTGAAAATGAATCAGGTTCAAACTGTACCTATCACACATCTTATAAGATGGAACTGCAAATAAAGATGTTCTATATAGGTGACATGCTTATCCTGATTTGAAAAAGCAACCTGATAAAAAACATAAAAATTTGGGAAAGGATTCCACCCATTGGTCATCTTCATCAAAGAGGACAGAAGTTTCAACTAGTATTTAGATTAACAGGATTGCCCCCTATTTCAGCACTGTATGAATTTTGAGTTACTGTGTTTGCTTTTAAGGATTTCTTTATTATTGCCTCTGTTCTTCTCATGGGACTGCTACCTTTTTACGGTTAGGTTACTGGTAAGATGGATGAGAACCAGTTTGTAGCTGTGACCAGCACCAACGCAGCCAAGATCTTCAACCTCTATCCCAGGAAGGGACGTATAGCTGTGGGCTCTGATGCTGACCTGGTGATCTGGGACCCAGACAGCGTCAAGACAATCTCAGCCAAGACTCACAACATAGTAAGTGGTTTCTGCACTTCCCCCCACTCCCTGTCCAAGCATTGTGACAGAAATACAGAAGAATTATGCAAGAACATGCAAGCTCTGAGTTTCAAAGAGCCCATCTCTCAGTCCATTGCACATCTGGACTGAAGGGTTTTCCCCAAACTTCTGATGGCTTAGGGACAATTGCTTTCTGAATTAAACTTGCTTTCTGAATTTGAAACTGGAAGCATACATCACTCTGGCACCCGAAAATATCACTTGGCACCAGAGGGAGCCTTTTTAATATGCCTAACTGTAGGGGGTGGGTGGAAACTGTCATCAGGGAGTTAACAGTGTGCTATGAGAACATTAAATAAGAAGCTTCAACTAAAATTTAGACTGGGGCTAACTCTTCAATTCCCTCCTAGGCTGTGGAGTACAATATCTTTGAGGGTATGGAGTGCCGTGGGTCACCACTGGTGGTCATCAGCCAGGGGAAGATCGTGCTGGAGGACAGCAACCTCCATGTGACTGAGGGCTCTGGGCGATACGTTGCCAGGAAGCCCTTCCCTGACTTTGTTTACAAGCGCATCAAGGCCAGGAGCAGGGTGAGTATGCTGGGTGAACGTGTGTCCTTTGAAAGCTCAGTAAATTGGATAGCAGGATTTTAATCGTTCAGGTTCACATAGTTGCAACAGATACTGAATTCCATTGAGGTAGCCATTGCCCTACCAACCTCAATCTGCACTTAACCAGCCTCCATTGGCATGCCTTGATTCTTACAATTGTCAGCCTGTGCCTTTGGTTGACTGGCTCCAGCTACCGTTGGTCTCCCCTGACTTCTGCCCTACCAGTCCCAATGAACACCAGCCACCACTGCCAAAAGACATCCGGTTGGCAATTGTGGGAAACAGCATGGAAAAATAGATGGTCTTTGGGTCTGATTCAGGAGGGCTCTTCTTACATCATTAGGGCAGTGAGCCCCCTGCTGCAACATGGGTTTTGACTGGTACCCAGCAATGCCAGATCTCTGATAGTGGCTCCAGTGAACAAATGCACATGAATGGAGAGCCAGTGTCGTGTAACGGTTAGGGTGTTGGACTGGGACCTGGGAAACCAGGGTTTGAATCCCCATTCAGCCATGAAGCTCACAAAAGTTATTAGCAAGAGACCAAAAGTTTAAAACGTGCCTTGGTTTTCTTCTTTTAGAGCCAAATCCAGTTGAAAATCAACATAGCTACACTGGAGTTAAGCCTAGCTCACTGGCCTGGTTGTAATTGTTATCTAGCTCTCTTCAGGAGATCTAGGAAGAGAAGCCTGTCTTTGCCATCCTGGTGACTTCTGGATGTTTTGGATTACGGCTGAGCTGTGTGGTGATGGTGGGAGTTGTAGTCGAAAACATCCAGATGGCACCCAGGTTGGTGAAGTTTGCTATAAGAAAAATGAATCTTTTTCAAATACTGCCCTCTGCTGGATGAAAGCATTCTGTTTGGTTTGAGTTGAAGCAGTGGACAAGAGTTGGCTTGGGCAGGATGACTCCTCCATTAAGAACATTTGATCCACAGGGCTAACTCTTTGTCAGCTTGAAGTTTCAGTTCTAAACACACCTACAGGGGAGCAAGCCCCACTGACTGAACAGAAGTGGGGCCTTTTAAATAAGCATGTATAGGTTTGTCCCTGCAGATGTTGCTGAACTACAACTCCCATCAGCCCCAGCAAGCATGGCCAAGAGCAATGGGAGTTGTAGTTTAGCAACATCTGGAAGGCCAAAGGTCTCTTCAGACATTGGACTACAACTCCCATCATCCTTCACCATTGACTATGCTGTCTGGGGCTGATGGTGGTTGGAGTCCAGTGGCAGCTAGAGGGTCACAAATTTCTCATTCCTGCATGTTGAGAACTGGAACATTGCTAGTTAAAGCTGAATGTGTCCATAATCAGGGCTGCTTCTCAGTTCTTTTTTCTCCTGCATTTCCCCTTCTTTCCCCTAGTTGGCTGAGCTGAGGGGTGTTCCTCGTGGCCTGTATGACGGCCCAGTCTGTGAAGTATCAGTGACACCGAAAACGGTCACACCGGCCTCCTCAGCCAAGACGTCTCCAGCGAAGCAGCAGGCCCCGCCTGTCAGGAACCTGCACCAGTCTGGATTTAGCTTGTCTGGTACATACCTATGTGAGGCTAAATTATTATGGTGAAATCTTATTTCTGTTTTATTTATTGAAGGCCCTGGGTCCTCTTCCTTCCCATGCACAAAACAGGAATTCCACTCCAGGGGGGCCATTATCAAAAAGGCCCTGATTCTTGTCAGCAGCAACCAAAACTCCCCAATGAATGGAACTTTGAGCAGGACCTGATGAACAAATTAGTAGTATTGCAGGGGGAGATGAGTTGATACGGAAGGTGCTTTCATGTTTGTTGTGAAGAGAAGTCCTGAGAGTGTGCCGGATTGAGAGCATTGTGGACTTGGGAGCACATTTTATTGTTCATTTAAGTTACTTAAGGCATTTATATACTGTTCAGTTATTAGCATTTCTAAGTGGTGTGCATTAAAATAGACCCTGCAGAGAATAAAACCAGACACACGCTACCTTAAAGTGGCTGCTGGAATAAGACAGTGACATGTACCTGAAGTTCAGCAAGGAGGGTGGGCACCTGGGAGGCAGTTCTACAAGCTTGGGCCCACAACACTGAGCACACAATTTCTAGGAGTTACAAGCTGCACGTCATGGGGTGGGAGCACCATCAGAGACCTCCAAAAAAGCTATCCATGATGTGGTACAGATATAAGGGATCAGGTGGTCCTTAAGATATCCTGAACCCAAAAGGGCATTGCAAATTAACACAAAGACCTTGAACCTGGCCTGGTCACTGGCGGAAGAACAGGGGTGCGGAGGGAGCCCCTGGCACCACTATTCTGGTAGGGTGCCATTGCAGTGCTTCCCCCCGCCCCCGGACACGTGCTGAGCACCCCCTGGGCACCACGCCCCCAGAACACAGGCCATGCCCTCGTGGGTGGCGTGCCAAGCTCCTGGGGTGCACGCCACGCCCCCCAGGGGCATGCGCCACGCCCACGCCTGCTCTCCCTCTCCTCCCCTGGTAGTGGAGCATGCAGCTTCGTCACTGAGCCTGGTAACCTATGGGCAGCCAGTACAAGCTTTTAAGCACTGGTGTGCTGTGCTGATGGCAGTCTGTCCCCATCCAGTGTCTGTCTGCATCATTTTGCACCAGCCAGAGCCGGACATTGAAGTCACCGTTAACTTAAATCACCAATAACACTATGTATTTATGTATATATGTTCAGTTTTTCACTATGCTTATGCACCTCTCTTTCTCTGTCCCTTTCCTTCTAGGTGCACAGATTGACGATAATATTCCACGCCGCACTACGCAGCGCATAGTGGCGCCTCCTGGTGGCCGTGCCAATATCACCAGCTTGGGTTAAAAAAAGAGCAATGAAAGGGGGAAAAAACATGACCGCTTAGCGGATCATGGGAGAGGGTGGGGCACTTGAAGACCCTTTTTTTGATTATTTTAGAGCCTGTGATGGTTACTGCGGGCAACCAATGGGTAAGGCCTAGTTAAGGCTGCAGTTCCCCAGCCCCTTTGTTGTCAATCTCCCCCAGCCCCCATATTCACAGAACCTATTCGTTCCTCCCCCTCCTTATACATTTGGGAAACTCCCCCTCCCCCATTTTGACACATGGGGGATGCAGAAAAAAGGAGTAAATCATTGAAGAGTAGAACTTGTAACTTATATAATCATTAACACCATTTTATCTTTTTGTTTTTCTTTTAAAAAAGGAAGGAAAAAGTGAATTTCCCAGAAGCTGCTTTATATTTTACTTTTTATATAAATGAAGGTTCAGGTTTAACTATTGGAAAGAGGAATAGGAAAAAAAAAAGAGGTTTTAAACTGGATGTTTCAGAAACTGGACTTGCAGCCCTGCATCTTAAAAAATGTGGGAGTCATGATTTCCCTAGGACCAAATCTGTATCCACCCCACTTTCCAATTAGAGGAAGGTAGAAGTTGTGCTGCTAAGGTTTCAGGTATTATGGTGCTGGGAGGATGTAGCCCGTGTTGTTCTTGGGTTTTAATGCGCTAATCCCATCTCGGAATTGAAGGATCATTTGTTCATCCATTTCCTTGTTTTAATAGATGTGTGTGTGTGTGTGTGTGAGAGAGAGAGGACATGTGCGCTTGCTTCATTGATGTGTTATGCTTTGAGATGCCTTATTTTGAAATTAAGCTCATCCTTGTCTTTCTGAGCCGCATGAGGTCCAAGGTCCTTCTAACAACTTATGGCCATCCTGCCACAGGTATCTGTATGTCAGATAATTCACTTGATTCTTGGGCCAGCTCCACCTTGATTTGCTGGGTTAACCAGTATCGTTAACTGGTTTTCCATTCTCCTTTTCGTAAGGGTGTCAGATTCTGCACAGAGTAAGTCACCTTTTATTGGCGCCATTGCATGTCCATCCATTGGAGAACTTTCTAAACACCAGCTCTGTATCAGTTGGGTTCAGAACTAAAATCAGGAGATCTAGCTAGGAATCGTGCTGCCAAATGACCCATTCCCTTAAAAAGCAAAAACCAGCATCTCCTGACTTCAGTAGAACTTGGAGGGAAATGGGAATCTCTTTAAAAACAGTCTAGTCCAGTGGTTTCCAAACTTGTTTCTCTGGGACACACTTTCAGAATAAAAATTTGTTCGTGCCACACCAATTTCTTTATTGATAAATGCATTGGACAGCAAAACGAAACAAGTCCTAGCAGCGCTTGATTCATAATGTAGAACACAACTACTTCATAATATGATCATGGAACACCCAGAAAGTATAAAACAATGCAGCTACATAAGAACATGAACCATCCCTAAAATTGAATGCTAAATAAGCCTCATACATATGTATCTTAAGTACGTATGCTTACACATCAGTGAGTGGTGTGAGCTTACTTTTGCCTGGTAGTCTCATTTATACTAGGTCTAATTTGAGACAAACTCTCATCTTCTCATCAACATAAAGAAGCCTTTCTCTTTTCTGACCTTCCATATATGTCAGAGTTGAAAATCCTTGCTCACAACACGTGGAGAACTGTAGAAGAATAGCCAATGCTCTTGAAGAGAGGCATGGATACAGTTTCTGCTTGTATATCCCTGCTACACTGAAATGGTTCTTTGATTGTCCTTGAATCTTCCTGCCACGCTTGCCATCCCCTCTTGCCACACCTGTGTGGCGTGCCACACCCTTTGAAAACCACTGGTCTGGTCTTATCATGGATGCACCACCAGACGCATAACTGTGCCTGGATTCCTCACCTCCTCATGTGCAAATACTGTGCCAGTCTCTTCCACCACCCTTCCTCCCTTTGGCCCATGCCCACCTCCCATGCCTCCATCCACCCTTGCCTTCTCCACAGTCAAGGCTTGCAGTCTTATGGGTGGGGTTGCTTGAGTAGATGAGAGACTGAGCAGGTACATGGACTGCACATAAGACTCCTGGTTCCTTGGGCTGCCTTGGAACATTGCCCCTGCACATGAGAGCCTGTGTTAAACTATATGGCAACCTCCCTTCCTTTGTGCTTGCAGCAGGACTGGGTTAGCCTGGAGCTGAATCTAATGGGCAGTGTCTGTGTACTGACCCTTAAATCGCTTGTGCCAATTTAGGTCACTGCATTCTACAAAGTTGATAATGTGCTAAGCTGAACTTAAATCATTCCTCCCTTTTTTGGTGCACCGCTGTGTAGAGGCATTTCATTAGACCTATGGGGAATCTGAAGTAAGCCTGACATCCTTTTAAATGTGGATTGAGCTGCATAGGGTCTGTGTGCATGGAAGCAGATTACACATTGTGGGGCCAATAGCATGTTTCCTCCCCCACCCCCTTATTAGAAAAGGTTTTCCCAAGTACAGCCCAGATTCCTGTTCCTGAGTGTTCATGTGGAGGTGCCACACGATCAGCCCTAGTAAAGAACATATGGAAATACTTCATAGAACCTTACAATAAATTCTTAATTGTGAAGGCAGCATAACCTCATTTTCTTTGTTCACTCATTTCAATTGATTTTAAATTGATACTCTGCCACACATTTCCCCTCTTTTTTAAAAACAACAGCAACACAAACTACTTTAAAAAAATCCTAACATTGTATATTTGCTGATTCTTTGAAAGGAAAAGTAGAATATAGCCAGGTCAATGTGTGTTGTCTTTTAAAGTCCAACAAGTGATGGAGTTGTGATCTACAAAAGTGGCTCCACAGCCCGTTCCTCAAAACACATCTGCCACACTAAAGCCAATTTCTTTGAGTGATGTGAAAAAGGGGAGCAGCAGGCTCCTTGGAATCTGGGAGGCGGCTAGGAGATTGCAGTGGCAACCAACCCTACACACACTCCTCTCCTACCACTGTAGTTAACACCTACATTTGCCCCTTGCTGATCCTTTCTGGAACCACACACCCAGTACAGAGGGGGTGTGGATATCTAGTGCTGCCTAGTGTACCCTGCTGCACTGAGCATTGGGGGGGGGGGTGAGCCTTGAGTCCTGTGCATTGGTTCCCAAGCAGTGGGTCTGCTGGGCCTGTGCTTGACACCACACGCCTCACCCCCTGTATATTTGCCAGGATATATACAGCTCTGAAGACACAAGAGGCATTATTGCTGGGGACAATGGGCACATTCACATTCCCCCCTCCTTTACATGTTGAGCTTACATGCAAGGGGTGTTCACAAAATACATTACCCTGAAGACAGTTGCAAAGTGTTATGCAAGTGTTTGCTTGAATGAATGTATGCTTGATTGTGCGTTGAATGCTACTTGTGAATAACAAGTACACAGCTCAACTATTTGTATACGGAGACCACACATTATATTCAATGAGTGCACCAACACCCCTTTGTAGTGGAGCTGTGCTCTTCTGTAGATTTTCAAAGGTGTGTAGTCAACATGTGTGTAGTTTGCACAGTCAGTCAGCAACAGATGCACCCACCTGCCCACAGCTTGTACCTGTGTCTAGTGTAATGTGTGAACAAGCCTAAGGTAATAGCTCAACTGGACTTTAGTGTAGGACTCTTTCTGTATTCCAGGCTGTGCACTGTACAACTCAGCCAGGAGTAGTAAAAATGTGCCAGTCAGATTCTGAAAGGCAGTCGAGGCTTGAACTGAATTCCCCCTTTCTCACCCTTCCACCCATAACTGATGGCTGTTCATCATTCCAGACAGTTTCATTTGTGTTTTGGTTCTGTTTTGTTTGCTTCAGAGATTGCACTTTTTATTAAATAATTAAAAAATATTTAGTTAAGGGTAATATATATATTTGCAGCTTTTTAATTTTTCTCTCTCTCCTCGCCACTTATGCTTTGATGAATTTAAGCAAAGTTCTGTTTCGGGAAGGGGGAGGGGGGAAGTGACCATGGGTTGTATCCAATGTTAGTCCTGATCAGAGTAGACTCATTGAAATTAATAGACATGGCTAACTTAGATCCATTAGGTTCAATGAGTGTGCCTTGAGTAGAGGTTAGTTGGATGCAACCCCATGTTTCAGTTATACGAAACATGCGCAGCTCTTTGTGATTCACTTGAGTCTTCCTTTTCCCCCTCGTGTTCATTATTTTGTTCTTGGACCATTGTGTGTGTTTTTTTAAGGGGGGAGGGAATAAAGGATTTGTTAAAAAATAAAACTTTGCAGGCTATGTAAGCATGTTTTTTTCCTGTGGGAGCTTGCTCGCTTTGTGTGTCTGTTTCATGAATGTCATATGTAAATGCTTAAAGGAAATGACATTGAACTTGGAATTAATTTGCCGCAGTGACTTGATGCTCTAAAGAAAAAGGAAAATAATGATAATAATTTTAAAAAAATTAAACCATGTAGAATTTACTACTAGATGGATTTTAACCCTTGGATTTGTGCTTGTGAACATGAGTGAAGGAGCTGTAAGTGAATAAGCTGATCATGTGTGTAGACAAAAGGAGTACTGATAAAATTTGACCTTTCTCTCAATGGCATAAAATGAGTCTTGTGTTTTTTCTTCCTTACGAACTCTGTGTTATATTACCATGGGAACTCCTAATAAAGACAAAACGTTGTTGTTTCAGTCGGCGTCTCCTTGTTTCTTGGTGGTCTTCCGTTTGGTTCTTCTGTGTTTGTGCAAGTTGCAATCTAGTGAGGTCCATGTTGGTTCATAGGACAACTTGGATGGCTTTAAAGCACAAGGACTGTAGTTCAGGTAGTAAGAGCATCTGCTTTGCATGTAGAAGGTCCTAGGTTCCATCCCTGGCATGTCCAAGTAGGACCAGGAGAGACTCCTTTCTGAAACAATGGAGAGCCGCTATAAGTCTCTGTAGACAACAACGAGCTAGAAGGACCAATGGGGTGACTTACTGCTATTTTCCTAGAGAAAAACTGCTGGAACTCAGTGAACTCTCTTGTTCTCTTAGAATGGCAATGGCGCCCACCTGAGAGGTGTTGGAACCCATCTGGGAGGTGCTGGAATTAAGTTCCATTGAGTTCCAGCTGGTGTGACTACAGTTAAGCTTCCTGTGTCACTGCTGTCCTAAATTCATGTAGTATAACACTGCATTTCTCCTCCAGTGTTGAGGGCAGCATGCCACAGAATACTAGTTTTAAATTATGTTGCTTACTAAACATGCATAAACATTGCATTTGGTGCATACATCTTTCAGAATATACATTTTAATGAGTGTAACACACACAAAATGCCTGGTAACATCTTAAAGGAAAACACATTTTTGACCTCACATGTTCATATAAGCATCCCCATGGGTGTGGATTGGGAAGCCTATTGCAAGTGTTGTAGCTCTTCCGCAGAACAAACATGAAAGTTGAGTGATACTGAGTAGTCATACCCCACATGTCATGTGCTGGCCAGCCGCACCCTGGTGTCCACAGATAGCTAGGGTTGCCACATTTCAAAAAGTAAAAGCCAGGACACCCCGAAACATCAGTTGAAATCCCGGTGATGTCCAGGAAAATCTGGATGTATGGCACCCCTAAAAGGTAAAGGGACCTGACCGTTAGGTCCAGTCGCTGATGACTCGGGTTGTGGCGCTCATCTTGCTTTACTGGGCCGAGAGCCGGCGTTTGTCCGCAGACAGTTTTTACAGGTCATGTGGCCAGCATGACTAAGCTGCCTCTGGCAAACCAGAGCAGTGCACGGAAACGCCTTTTACCTTCCCGCTGGAGTGGTACCTATTTATCTACTTGCACCTGATGTGCTTTCAAACTGCTAGGTTGGCAGGAGCAGGGACCGAGCAATGGGAGCTCACCCCGTTGCGGGGATTCGAACCACCAGCCTTCTGATCGGCAAGTCCTAGGCTCTGTGGTTTAGACCACAGCGCCACCCATAGCAAAAGACTTGCAGGAATAGGAGCCTCTGCTCAAAGGGCTCCCCATGACCTGGAACCCTGTACAACCATGTCATGGGGGTGCCTTCCATGATACTGCTGTATGAGCAAAGCCCCCCTCCCTGAAGGTGTTTTCAGTGCATGTGTGAACATGGGGGTGTGGCTATTCCAGGTGGCCCTTCTCCAAGGGTTTTTTTTATTATACAATCAAGCTGTAAATAAATTTCATGAAATACTTCTGTTGCTCTACACAGGAGAGAACATATCTGGATGCAATGGTCATAATGGACTTGCTCAGATGGTGGTGCTGAAGCTCTTTGAGAAGTCTCTTTTTGTCACTCCAAAGCCAGGATGGGCTATGAACCTCATGATCCCTTCCAACTCTACAAGTCTATGTTTCCCGTCCCCCCTTGTTCTTTGCATGTTATCAGTTTTAACTAATGTCGCATCTGCACTATACATTTAAAGCATGTGACTTCTTCAAAGAATCATGGGAACGGAAGGTTGGCAAGCGTGCTGGGAATTGTAGTTCAGTGAGGGATGAACTACAGTTCCTTGGATTATTTTTGGGAAGTCCTGTACATTAAATATTATGTGGATTAACCTGAGACAGTTCCCCTTTTCAAAGTGACAGTTCCAATCTAGTAAACAGTGGAGAAAACTCAGCTTCAACGTTTGAGAACACTAGGTGGTAGCAAGACACAGAACAGAAAACCTAGAATCATCTTTGCTACATTTTTATAAGTATCAAATACTTTCCGGCTTTCAAAAAGAGCTCCTAACGTGGCTTAATACTAATAATAAGCAAGAGTCACAGAGAGATTTATTTCTCTATATAGATTTCTAAAGTGCATAACCTCATTGACTTTCAGTAGCCAACAGGTTGAGAGTTAAATGCTTGGCAAAATAAGGGCTTTGCCATTCAATTAATGGAAATATTCTAGTTCTGTAACCTGAGGGCATCTAAAGACACTGAATATTTGAAGAAGCACAAAGAGAGTACATATTTATACAGATGTCTAGATTAAGGTGGCTCTTTCCAAAAGGAAGAGATGGAATGCATCACCAAGAGAAGATACAGATCTGCATAAATTTGCATATGCTACTTTATACACATACATGCATTGCTTTAGACATAACTATCATAGACCCGGATGGCGCTGTGGTGTAAACCACTGAGCCTTGGGCTTGCCGATCGGAAGGTCAGCGGTTCAAATCCCCGCAACGGGGTGAGCTCCCGTTGTTCAGTCCCTGCTCCTGCTAACCTAGCAGTTTGAAAGCACGTCAAAGTGCAAGCAGATAACTAGGTACCGCTCTGGCAGGGAAGGTAAACAACGTTTCCGTGCGCTGCTCTGGTTTCGCCAGAAGCAGCTTAGTCATGCTGGCCACATGACCCAGAAAAACTGTCTGCAGACAAACACTGGCTCCCTCGGCCAGTAAAGTGAGATGAGCGCCACAACCCCAGAGTCGTTCACGACTTGACTTAACTGTCAAGGGTCCTTTACCTTTACCTTTTTATCATTTAAACAGAAATGCAATACACTCCACTGCTGTGGGGAGGACTGGCCAGTTGACCTCGGCTTACTATTCCGGGCAGCTTCAAGGCCCTCACTTTCCCTGTTTAAGGTTTTTAAAACCAGATGGTCCTTCAAATAGACTGCTGTCCCTTGTAAAGTAGAAACGTGGCCACACAGCTGCTTCTAGACCTGCCTGTAAGATGAATTAGGTTGTCAGGCATTTGACACTGGGTCTTTTTGGTTGGGGCTACTCCCTTCCATGGGATGCGGGTGGCGCTGTGGTCTAAACCACAGAGCCTAGGGCTTGCCGATCAGAAGGTTGGCGGTTCGAATCCCTGTGACGTGGTGAGCTCCCGTTGCTCGGTCCCTGCTCCTGCCAACCTAGCAGTTCGAAAGCACATCAGGTGCAAGTAGATAAATAGGTACCACTCCAGCGGGAAGGTAAACGGCGTTTCCGTGCACTGCTCTGGTTTGCCAGAAGCGGCTTAGTCATGCTGGCCACGTGACCCGGAAGCTGTCTGCGGACAAACACCGGCTCCCTTGGCCTATAGAGCGAGATGAATGCTGCAACCTCAGAGTCGTCTACTACTGGACCTAATGCTCAGGGGTACCTTTACCTTTACTCCCTTCCAGGTGAACAATTTGCCAAGGAACTATTGTTCCCAGAAATGATTTTCATCAGTATTGTAGCATAAGGCCTATTCACCATGGTCCTCATCTTCACTCCCAAGCTCCCAGAACAGGGAAAGACAATTATTTAGAAGAGGGCAAAGCATCATCCCTGGCCACTGATCATGCTGTATGGGGTTGAAGGGTGCTGGGAGCCAAGCAAGCTCTGGAGAGCATCACATTGACTATCCCTGATTTAGAAGAATTGAACCAAGGCATGTTAAATGCAGTGACTTTGGCTGCAACCTTAAGAACACTTGTTGAGGAGTAAGCACCATTGAAACAGGGAGAAATGTAAAGTATTGCACTTGGGCAAAAAAAATGAGAGGCACAAATACAAGATGGGTGACACCTGGCTTGAGAGCAGTACATATGAAAAGGATCTAGGAGTCTTGGTTGACCACAAACTTGACTTGAGCCAACAGTGTGACGCGGCAGCTAAAAAAGCCAATGCAATTCTGGGCCTCATCAATAGGAGTATAGCATCTAGATCAAGGGAAGTAATAGTGCCACTGTATTCTGCTCTGGTCAGACCTCACCTGGAGTACTGTGTCCAGTTCTGGGCACCACAGTTCAAGAAGGACACTGACAAACTGGAACGTGTCCAGAGGAGGGCAACCAAAATGGTCAAAGGCCTGGAAATGATGCCTTATGAGGAACGGCTAAGGGAGCTGGGCATGTTTAGCCTGGAGAAGAGGAGGTTAAGGGGTGATATGATAGCCATGTTCAAATATATAAAAGGATATCACATAGAGGAGGGAGAAAGGTTGTTTTCTGCTGCTCCAGAGAAGCGGACACGGAGCAATGGATCCATACTACAAGAAAGAAGATTCCACCTAAACATTAGGAAGAACTTCCTGACAGTAAGAGCTGTTCGACAGTGGAATTTGCTGCCAAGGAGTGTGGTGGAGTCTCCTTCTTTGGAGGTCTTTAAGCAGAGGCTTGACAACCATATGTCAGGAGTGCTCTGATGGTGTTTCCTGCTTGGCAGGGGGTTGGACTCGATGGCCCTTGTGGTCTCTTCCAACTCTATGATTCTATGATTCTATTCTATGATTCTATGAAGCAGAGTGAGGCCTTATTTTTGAGTACACATACAAAAGATTGCACTGTTTCAGTGCACCTGTGGAACCATAGAAACATAGAAGGGAGTTCTATTGTTCAACCATAGTGTTATAAGCAACCATGAAGACCACCTAGTCCAGCCCCCTGCAATGCAGGGATCTTTCACACATAGGGATTGAACCCACCCACGCCCCTGAGATTAAAAGTCTCATGGTCTGCTGGCTGAGCAATCCCAGGTATTTCAATGAATATAGCAGGATGTTATAAGGGTGGTCTCTTCCACTACCAAGAGGATATGCAGAAGGTTTCAGGTTCAGTCCCTGCCATCTCCAGGCATGGCCAGGATAGACCGCTGCCTGAAACCCTGGAGAGCTACTGATAGTGTCCACACTACTGAGAGATTGGCTCAGTATAAGGCAACTTCCTGTGTACCCACTGGTCATCTAGGTTCTGACAGCCAATGAACATTATTGATTGGAACAGGAGAGCTGAGTGAATTGGCGTTTGAACCAAAATTGCATAGAATATTTATGAGTGTCATGAGCTGAGGTGATCCAGGGAGGAACTCTTGTCTTGACTGACAACCCACCATTCCTCTTGTTGAATTATGTGAATGCCAGGAGTGATGGATGAGCTGAATCCCAGCTGAGACGCCGAGAAGACACAAAGCTGGGGTCTGACAGGCTTCCAAGCTAATAATTCACCAGCAGCTCTCTTGGACTGTCAGACTTGGCAGAGTAAATGTTAAAGCACCAACGAGGGGCTAGGTATTGTTCAAATACAGCCCATCCCAAGGTATGAAAAAGAAAGCGGCCCAGGTTGTTCTTTGGAAGAGTAATTATCTGAACATTTTCAGTGGATTGTTTCATGCATCACATAATCAAATTCTGGAATTCACAAAGAGGTAGTGACGGCTTGGACGGCTTTCAAACTGGTTAAGACAAATACAACGGATGATGATGAGGCTATCAGCACTATGAGCTGTGATGAACAAAACCTCCCTTCACTGTCAGATACCCGTGAATCACAGGTGGAGAGGCTGCTGTTGCACTCAGACTTTCCTTGAAGATTTCCCCTGGGGGCATCTGGTTGGTCTCTGTGAGGACAGAGTGCTGGACCTAGAATCACAAAATTGTAGAGTTGGAGGAGTTCCCAAGAGGGTGTCTAGTCCAACTTTCACTGTCGAACAGCTCTTACTGTCAGAAAGTTCTTCCTAATGTTTAGTTGGAATCTCCTTATAATTTGAAGTCATTGATTTGGGTCCTATTCTCTGGAGCAGCAGAAACCAAGCTTGCTCCATCTTCTATGTGACAGCCCTTCCGATACTGGAAGATGGATATCATATCACCGCTCAGTTTTTTCTTCTCCAGGCTAAACATCCCCAACTCCCTCATCTGTTCCTCATAAGGCTTGGCCATAAGGCTTGGCTTGAGCCAACTGGACTCTTCTTCTGACTGCAAATCAAGGTTTATTCCAAGCTTCCATCTCCCCCACTATTCTAGCTTAACTCCTCTCCCAACACCTCTCCCAGTCTATGAGTATGATCTGCCCCACTCCAGCCCTGGAAACTTTTTAAATTAAAAGAACACAAAAGGGAAGAGAGAGCATGATAATGGAGAATAGACATAAAAACGGAAATGAAAAGGCCTGAGAAAAGAAGAAGGGAGGTACTTTGCAAGGAATAGCAGGGTCAGGGAAACCTCTAATATACAGTACTATTAGTATAAAGCCTTCCAGGTGTTGATATACTCTAGCTGCTATCATGATCCCCCTTTCTGGGGATTCGGGTCAAAGTTGTTGAGCTTTGGGAGGAAGGCCCATTTTGGGGGGGTTCGGGTCAAAGACCAAAGGCCCATCTAGTTCAGCAGTCTGTTCTTACAATGGCCAACCAGAATGCTTGTAAGAAGTTTACTTTTTCAGGAGGTGCTTCTCTGAATAGGCTTCATTTGCCCTCACTTTCCTGATTTGCTAGGATCATATGACTAGTCCAGGAAGGTTTGTGTTCACTCTAAGTAAGCTTTATTTGCCTTCAATCATCTGGCTCTGATTTTAACATGGACTTGGATGGAAGGATGTATTATTACCCTATACGGAGGAATGGTGGTGGGAATTAATGGAGGTAAAGTTAATTACCAATAATAATAAAAAAACTGAGAATCCCTCTTGCACTTTTCATGGGGAAAATAAATGAATGATTCTGAGACACTTTGACTTAAAAGAAATATTGTTTATAACAGAAAGTGGAGAATATGGATATTAACATGGACTGGCTGTCTTAAATAATCTTTTTTTTATGTAACTGGCAGATTGAAAATCAGTAGCCCCTTTTCTCAGTCTCTAATGTTTCTTTTCCCTTTGTATTTTATTCTTTTTTCTTTTCTTTTCTTGTTCTCTCTCTCTCTTCCCTTTTTTCTTCGTTTGTTAAGGCTTAAGGCGGCCGTGTCCAGGGTATTAACTGTGCCTGATTTAAACAAAGAAGAAATCTCAGTAACATTATGGTGGCATTGTTGGAGGAAAGCTAAGGTGGAGAGAGGCAGGGATCTTGCCTAAGGCCAGCTAACGATTTAATGGCAGCAATGAGTTTTGAGCTGTGCATCTTCTTATTCAAAGCTCAGTATCTTAGCCCCTGATATCTGGCTTCCTCTCCTGCCCCCTTATGGGCCATGTTGAACACTATCAGATTATCTATGGTATCTGGGAAATCATTTTTAGGCCAATAACTTCTGATGGACGCCTTTTAGGAAATAATGTCAATTATAACCTTGTAGGACTTCGTTATTTCAGTCTATTACCTGCAATGAGTTATTCTCAAACAAGGAGTTCAAATTGATAAAAGGCAAAGGAAAATCAATACTTGAGATTGTTGAGATTAATTGGGACTTTATAATGGATTTCTTTCCCCCCTTCTTTTTCCATTGGGACTTCCAATAGCTCCAGCAGGCGGCCCATCCTGAATGTGGATTTAGTGCTGCCAAATATGTGAAGTCAAAACTTTAAGAGATTCATATTTTTCTGCATTAAGATGATTAATATTTCAAAACTGCAGACCTGCCAAGATAAATGGGGCCCAATATGCACACTCACCTGCACACACACTGAGCTTTCTTTACCAATAAAAGAAAAATCAGTAGCTATTCTTCTCACTGGGGAAAAAAATCTAGCGGTCAGGTCATTGTTAAAAGTGTGTTTATTTTTCTTGCAGAAAGTGCTGTAAGCTCTCACAAATTGCTTTCTGTAGAGTAAGAAATTAGAGAAACTTGGGAGGCTACAGTGCAACCTCAATTGGCAGCCATTCAATAAGTTGTCAGAGAAGCTTCAGGAAGAAGATAGCAAGCAGCTCTCCTGGACAGTTCGGTTTCCTTGCATTCCATCTCGTCATCTGATCTCAGACATCTCAAGTTGGGGAATCTGGCAATTTTCTCTATAGAAGAATGCTGAGTTTTAGTTGCTCCCCTGTGGATGGCCAGATGGGGCAGTGCAGGTATCAACTCAGCAGTGCTTAGAACCAGGCAATTTGAAAAGCACCATAGACAGTAGAGTCTGCAGCGAAATAAGCACTCCAGCATAAGTTTGCAATAACATTCTTTTCATTGCTAAAAGAGATATAGCATAAATATCTAAAGGTAAATATAACAGTTTTATACTTTTAATTTATTCCCCCCATTTATAGTTAACCCTATGTTGTAAGCATCCCAGAAGCATTCAGTAAAAAAAAAAAACCCCAACAGAATATGCCTAAGAAAATAAATATACACAACGTCCCCCCTGCTTCCAGTTAAAAAAAGCCAGTCACAGGACGGGAACCATTCATTAGCCATATTGCTAGTGAGCCTGGCATGGTTTTCGTTTTAATATGATTTTGACATCTCCGCCAGATAGGGGGGTTTTCTTCTTCACATTCCAGTGTCACAGAAGAGAAGTACTGTCTGTATTTCATCCTCAGCTTTGGGTTTTCAGTGTCTGTAACACTTTCTGGGTCATTTACAAATTTTGGCTTGGAAGTGTTTATTTCACTCCTTTTCCAAAAATATTTTTCACCCAGAACCAGAGTTCCGCTTAACAGCTGCGAAGCTGCAGCAAGAAACCCAACATAGATGGCCATTCCAGCACGTTGTTCTGTGGGAATCGGAGGCACTCCCAAAACCTCCGGAAGCGGAATTCCTTCGTTTGTTAATACAGAGTGAAGATTCCATGAAATGGAAATCAATACACAAGTACCCGCTGCCAACTCTATCCTTCCTCCAATTGAAAAGAAGGTATCAATGAAATTCTCGTCTTTTCCTGGCTCAAAGATGTTGCATAGAGCAAAGGCCATGCAAAGAACGGTCACCGCAGTGGCCACTGAGGCCATTGGCATCAAGTCCTGGGCCACAATGATTTCAGCTGGCAGGGACTCCTCATCATTGAATGGTATACATATCATGTTGGTTTTCTTCATGGTAACTCTTCTGACGGAACAGACACCCCAGATGCCAATGCCCACAACGTCCTGCTGGTTGCTGCCCATGATTTTGTCTACTTGCCACACTCTCCAGTCAAGGGTGGCAGATGTGGAGCAGATGCTCATTAGGCAGCCCAGGACAGCCAGGAGAAAGGCAGCTAGTTGCACGCAGGACACCCTGCACAAGAGGCGGACTGGGAAGGACCCATCATGCGCCTGGGGTGGAAGTTCCGCTTTAGCGCTCGGAAGGCTGGCGATAGAAGGCATGCTGGAGAAAAAGACAGGCAAAAGATAACCGTTAGATACTTAGGCACAGTATCATATGGACATCTCCTAAAGTTTGAGCAAATAGTGATGTGCAGCTAAAACAATGCCATCATTCTAGGGCAAATTCTGCATTTCCCACCTTGAGACGTAGGAATGGAAAAGTCTGCTGTACCTGCAATCATAAGTGCCAGGAATCAGACTTCCCCAGGGGTGAAGAAATTGCACAACCGCACAACCCCTTTTGTTCTAGGGACCCCCTCCATGCAGATAATTGGGCTCTTGTCTAGTCCACTCCTCCTCTGCATTCCTATGCTCCCCTCCCTTCCCTCTCCATTGGTAAAATGTCAGGCATGATCCCACCAAAGTTATGCATTCTACCCTTGAAAGAAGTTGGTGCAACAGACCAATACAGCTCCTGTTCAGGAAAGAATCCTTTCTGGCTTTAGTCCTCATTCTCTCTCTCTCTCTCTCTCTCTCTCTCTCTCTCTCTCTCTCTCACACACACACACACACATTGTGAAAAGCCTAAAAGTGGCTCTCAGACAGGACAAAAGGAAATAAAAGTCAGTTTGTTCCTATCTGAGAAGACACTGCTATGTTGGTGGGGAACTGAGGAGCGCTGCATATATGCACCTACGTGAATCAGTTCTTCAACCAGTCTTTTTCCAGAGCAAGGACTTCTTCCAGGTCTTTCTCTTCCAGCATCTGATCTAGGAGAGGACCTGAAAAGAGTGAAGCTGGTCGGAGCACCGTAGCAACTGCTCCTTGGAGTTTTGAGGCAGTTAGAATGCAGCTTGCTTTGAACGCTCAGAAGAACACAAATCATAACTCCAGGGTACTGGTCGTTTGGAACTGTTGGCAACTGCTTGGAGGCAGTATGCATTTGAATAGCAGTGTGATTCTGCAACTTTTAAAAGACACTTTTTTGTTAGATGTAAGCTTATGCAAAGATTGGATACAGAATGTGGAAATAAACACCCCAGCTGCCAGTTCCAAAGGAATGAGCGAGCCAGATTTGAAATAAACCAGGGGTCAGCAACCTTTTTTAGCCGTGGGCCGGTCCACCATCGCTCAGACCATGTGGTGGGCCAGACTATATTTTGAAAAGGGAAAAAAACACACGAATTCCTATGCCCCAGAAATAACATAAAAGCACACATTCTACTTATGTAAAAATACCAGGAAGCCCCCACAAATAACCCAGAGATGCATTTTAAATAAAAGGACACATTCGACTCATGTAAAAACACGCTGATTCCCGGACCGTCCGCAGTCTGGATTGAGAAGGCGATTGGGCTGCATCTGGCTCCCGGGCCTTAGGTTGCCTACCCCGGTTAAGGTCATATTGGATCCCTTCAGGCATTCAAAGATGGCTATCATATTATCAGTTGGAGAGTTGACAGGGTTTTTTGTTTTGTTGGACCCACATTTTCTATGTTGATATTACCCACATTTTCATGGTTGATATTACCATGCTCCATTTGGGAGGGTTTTGCTTGTGATGCAATTTTAATGGTTTTGTCTTTTTTCATAATTACATGTTTTATTGCTGTAACACTTATGGTGGGACCTTATAATGAAGACTGGGCAAGAAATCTTATAGGTAGATGGATCAATAGTCAGTCTAGCAAAACCAAATGTGTGTTTGAATGGGGAACATGATGGATAAGAGCAATCCAAACTATAGGAAGCTGTTGTAATATATGACGGGGTAAATGATGCTGCTGTAACTTACCTCTGTTTCAAACTCCATTGAGGAATGGGGCTACTGCTGTCTGGGCCAACTTGAGCCTGACAGAGAGAAAACAACCATTACACCACTCATTTTGTGAGTGTATCTTCCAATGGGTTACCAGGTCATGTGCCTGAGCTGAGCAGAGTTTGAAATAGGGGCAAGTTTCCCCCTCCCCATTTCCATCTTCACTTTCCCAGAGCACCTCTTTTGGGGGACTTACCCAAGCCTTAGTCTTATGCCACATGAATGTGTTTCATCCCCTTTCAAAGACATCTAAGAGGATGGCCACCCAAGCAGTTTCTGACATCCATGTAGTTATCCCAGCCCGTTCCTCATCTTTAAAATGGGGCTATTGATAATGAATAAGATGAAAGACTTCTAAAGTATCTAGTACAATGAAAACTGCTACTTAAATGATTTTGAGGATATGTTGCACTCCAGAGTCACTAGCTAGATCAGAAACTTCACATTTCTCAGGAACTTTGGGACAGATGCAGTCTTGATGCAGCACCTTCTTAATCTATGAGTTTCTGCTAAAGCTGCCAACATAGACTCTTCAGGTTGAATCCATTGATCAGATTTATCACCTCAGAGGACAAATCAGATAAGGGGCTGTCTCTCTAAGGACCTCTTCAGTGAAGATTGATGCAAACAGTTCATTTAGTTCTTCTCCAAAATCATTATCCTTCTCAATTGATCCTATTCCCATTCTGCGTTTTGGAGGGACTCAACGGATTCTTTGGCCCACTCCCCACTCCCAGCACATTCATTCCCATTATTATCAGCTTTCCAATCTTGAGCCACACAGGCACTTTCATTTCATCCTGCTCTTGTCTTGCTATCACTTAACATTAAACTCCCTCCACAATTGCTGGTGTAATCCAGCCTGGCAGTTTTTAGATTCTTATAATTTCCTAAGATTCTGCAAGAGAAGATACACTTTCCTGGCGTTTTGTTGTTGGAAATGAGAGCTATTGCTGACCTTCTCCTGAGTCAGTTTTGGGTGTAAAATTTGTGGACTTCTAGAAAAACCACCCTCATGCAAGAAGTAAACTTTTCTGGCTCTAATCAAAATTCAAACTGGAGACAAATGCCCAGATTCCCTTACCCACCCAAGCTCCCTCTGCTAAATTCAGGCTCTGGAGTTATTACATGCTAGCTGACACATAAGCAGAAGAGAGAGGGAAGGTTTGTCTCCTTCCACCTCCTCTTCCATCTTCCTGACATTGGCGGGGGGGGAGCACTTTTTGTACCTCAACTCACTGCTAACCTGGGAGTTAGAATACATGTTTCCCCTCTCTGTGTGCCCACTCCTGCCATTGCTCACCCGATAATAGAAGGGAATGACTTTGGGCTGGCCTAGGGGTGGCAAAAATGGGAGGTGGCATTTCCTTAAGCCTGGGAAAGTTTAATGACTTTTTCTCATGGGTTGTCACATGAGAAACATGAATAATGTCTGAATTAACCCTAAGAGCTCACCATTCTCTTTTGGAATGTTTGAAAGTATTGGATTGGATTGGATAATAAATCTCTCTCGCTCACCCCCCCACGCCCAATTCCTTTCCTTTTAATGATATGAATTCTACCAGGGTGCCAACTTGAATAAAATATCGGGGGGGGGGAGGGGGGGAGGTAAACCGCAATCCGCATAATCAGTCACATGATGCAGTGCACATGCAACATTTGAATGGCAATGCCCACCAACCGGCTTCTATGAATTCCACACTGCAATCCTCTTTCTACCTTCATCTCCATGCAGTGAGTGAATGTAGACCCAGCTCTGGACCTTTGCATGTTAAGTTGAAGGTGGGATGGGCTCTGTGCGCATATAGTGATGCAACAGGCACACTCCCCTTCCATTGAACTTGTGGCAGTCAGGTGGGGAGAGCCGATTGGTGTGATTCTGCTCTTCCTGCAGTGCATTCCCTCAATGCAAGGAGTCAAGAGTTGAGTTCGGTTGTAGGCCATGTGGAAACACCATAACAATTTCGAAGAAGGGTACACGGAGGTTTATTTGAAATGCCTCACATATTGAAAGCATGCGTGTGGAGAAGCTGCATGGCTCGAGCCTACACCTACTCACCGTATTTTTTGCTCCACAAGACGCACCTGACCATAAGACACACCTAGTTCTTAGAGGAGGAAAACAAGAAAAAAAATATTCTGAATGAAACAGTGGATGTATGATTTTTGTGGTTCATGCTGTGGCCACAGACATGTGATCTGATGGTGAATTTGGGGTGACCCAATGCAAAAATCCTGAGGATCCATGTGGATCTGTGCTTTGTAACCATGCTTTTGCGCCATTGCAGCCCCACACAACAGTGGGTGCGTGATTTGGGGTGACCCAATGTAAAAATCCTGAGGATCCATGGGCTTTTACCTCCACCCTCCCAGGCAGCCTCCGCTAGCCTGCTTATCTCTCTTCCGATCCCACCGATCAGCTGTTTCGTTTCAACATTCCCTTCCCCTTAGTGTCTTTTCCTTAGCTGGATCAGTTTTTTGCTCCTCCTTTTCTTCTAATTTCTCTCCTTATTGCTTTAGTCTTCCTGGTCCCCCCCTTTGCAATTTTGCTGTCTTTACCTCCCCACTCCCAGACAGCTTCCTTTATCTCTAGCGTCCCTTATCTCTCTCCCCGATCGGCAAATGATCATTAGCTTTGTTTCAACACCCACTTCCCTCTTTCAAAAAAAAAAAAAGCATGATCTGCTTTTTGCCCCTGGGCAATTTGGCTCCAGGGATCATGCATTCACTCCATAAGACGCACAGACATTTCCCCTTACTTTTTAGGAAGAAAAAGTGCCTCTTATGGAGCAAAAAATACGGTATATACCCATCAGCCTTTGAGCCACAGCTGTGCATTCAGTGACTAAGAGAAAGGGTTTAAAGGGGTTAATTCTGTATACATGTACATGTAGCTCCTCCATGTGCAAATCAGGAGGCGTTTTAATATGTGAGGAATTCTACACAACAACACTGGTTTGCAGGGACCCTTTTCATCATCACCAAACATGCAGTGGGTGGGATGTGTAACCGGTAGGAGCTCTGGGGCATGTATTACAAGTTTAATGGAACCTGCCTCATCTAAAATCTTGAAGGATCTAATCATGTTAACAGTACAGTCGTACCTCGGGTTGAATGTGCTTCAGGTTGAGCGCATTTGGGTTGCGCTCCGTGGCAACCCAGAAGTAACGGAGCGTGTTACTTCCGGGTTTTGCCGCTCGCACATGCGCAGACACTCAAAATGACATCACACACATGCACGGAAGCGGCAAAACACGACCCGCGCACACGCAAATGCGCCGTCGCATCTTACGTTCCATTCAGGATGCGAACAGGGCTCTGGAACAGATCCCGTTCGCATCCTGAGGTACCACTGTAATTGGGAGAATCAAAGTAATAGAATCATGGAGTTACCCTTATCATTGCATTCTGATTGTTTTTATTTTCTCTATATACATACATATGTCATTGATAATTTATTGTTTTGATGCATTTACATTCTTAATCTAAGCATATTAGCATGTCTTTTTTCGAGCAATATTTTGTCATAAAATCATCAAAGCATTGCCATTTTAGTTTTTGATTTGACTGCTGTCGTATGGATGCTGTTAATTTAGCCAATTTTAAATATTCATTTAATTTGAGAATACATTCCTCCTTGGTAGGTAGTTCTTTAGCTTTCCATTTAGATGCTATTACTATCCTAGCTGCAGTGGTCGCATATAAGAAAACTCTCTTTAAAGAAAAAAGAAAAAGAAAATTTTGCTTGTCTGTTTTCAACGCCACAGTAGACATGCTTTCCCACAGGATGCTCCTGCGAGAGCCAGCGCTTTGATCTGTATTCCATTCTGGTTCTGTACTTCTCCCTAGAAGTGGGGACCACAGCAGACTGAAAAACAGCACACATCCGACTGTACGTGGGGTAGTGTCCACCATTCCCAATCCCCCTGCGAAAAAGTGCTGTCTAGGTGCCTGTGTTGAACAAACAAATAGAAGTTT